ATCCATCCATCCATCCATCCAGTCAGCCAGCCAGTCAGACAGGCAGCCAGTCAGCCAGTCAGTCAGTCAACCAGCCAGCCAGCCAGCCAGCCAGCTAGTCAGCCAGCCAGACAGAGCCAGCCAGGGAGGGGGAGGCCCAGCCGGTCCGGCCCACGTGCCTGACGGATCTCCCCTCTCCAAGGAGGACTGGCGCTCCAGGACTCCGGCCAGCACCATTAATTATGGAGGGAACCCAGACCACCCGAGTTAATAAGAGTTTGTTCATGAAAGGTTAAGAGCCAGTCAATGATTTATACGTGTGTACGGGGTGAGACAGAGAGAGAGAGCGAGAGAGCGAGAGAGAGAGACATAGAGAGCGAGTGAGAGAGACTGCGAGGCTGCCGGTAGCACATTATGATAGCTTTTTTCTCCTCTGATTAGACTAATGGTGGATTGAGATGTTCTCTTCCACTCAAGGCATTCAGCCGCATCGATAACTGATGTGATAGTTTGGGAACGCTGTCGGCCAGGAAGCCTAACAAGCTTCCTCTCGTCTGTCTGTGGAGTCTGGAGTCACGTACACATGCACCCACTTACTCACCCATTGAGCTCAGGTCAAATGTAGTGCACTATATAGGGAATAGGATGCCATTTGGGACACAGCCTCACTCGAACCCTGATGCATATATAACGGAGGTGGTGCAGTGAGTAGCCTCGTCTAAGACCAGAAGACTAGGCTTTAGCTCAACGGGCTAACACAGTCAGTAGTGTCCACAGACGACCCAGATTCAAACCCAGCCGCAGTCGGTCACATTTATAGTACACACTGATAGCATACTTAATGCTGTGGGATACCATGAATATCATGTATTCCCATGTAAGCATAAAACCAAGCCACACTGCGACGTTCATATGTATGTTACTGTATATACACTGGGACGTTCATATTCAGGTTACTGTATATAAACTGGGACGTTCATATGCAGGTTACCATATATACACTGGGACGTTCATATGTAGGTTACTGTATATACACTGGGACGTTCATATGTAGGTTACTGTATATACACTGGGACGTTCATATGTAGGTTACTGTATATACACTGGGACGTTCATATGTAGGTTACTGTATATACACTGGGACGTTCAAATGCAGGTTACTGTATATACACTGGGACGTTCATATGCAGGTTACTGTATATACACTGTACTCAGTCATGCCTACATTAACATCCTCATATAGCGTATACTCTAAAATGCCTTTGTCATGATGTTATTATTATTCCATGATGTAATATGTTAATAATGTCAATATAAAGCAACAGAAGACATATTGCTGCCTAGACCACTGGACCCTCCGATATACACTCTGACAAAAACCCTTCGGTATTGTCACGACATCCGCCGAGGCTGTCTCCCCTCTTTGTTCGGGCTGGTTTCGGCGTTCGGCGTCACCGGCTTACTAGCCACTGCCGATCCATTTATCATCACTCCATTTGTCTCGTCTTCAATCACACACACCTGGTCCTTATTCCCTCACTAGTCATGGTATAAGTGTACCCTCTGTTTCCTTGTCTGTGTGGGTGATTGTTTATTGTGGAGGTTTGTGAAGCTCGGTGGAGCTCGTGTATTGTGTATCGACGGGAGAATTTTCCCATGTGCCTGTTTTGTGCCCTGGAGTGTGTATGACGCATTTCTGCGTAAACCTGTATTTTGCGGATTAAAAGCCTGTTATTCTGTGATTTACCCTCCTGCGCCTGACTTCTTCAACACCACCTCATCACAGATATGCACTCTGACAAAGACCCTCCGATATGCACTCTGACATGAGGGTCATGTGACCAGAATAAAGGATGACTCTATCATGTACCATTAACAAGAACACTGTTTCGGCTCACAGGCTAGAGCCCAGTGCATGACAGTGGTAGAAAAACAAAGCCACAGTACATTTCATTTTCAGTAGACTGAACAAGGTGCTGTGAGAAAACTCTAATTCAGAATCGGGAAAAGAACACCCAACAAATATTTTTGGAGGCAAATAGCTTAACAAATAAAAGTTGTGAAAGATGGATGAGAAAATCAGTTGTTCATTCATATTTGATGGACCGGCTTAAGGTGTATAACCCAACCAAAACCAACAACCTGCGGGCAGATGAGGAGAGAAATGATGAGGTGTGTGGATGGAAGCACCTGCAATATGTTGCTTATATCAGCTCTAACACAGTGGCCAATGATGTGGTTTCAAAGTACTGCACTGTAACACCAATTCAAGCCTGTCTTTTTTCTTATGCAGAAGCACTTATGACATACTACTGTACAGAGATAAACAATCATGCACTCATATGCACACAAATACACTCACACACAGGACAAATAAACACACACACCTGAGGGGTATACTACAGAGGAAGCTAGATCTCCTCAGGGTTTTCTAAAGCTAACCAGGTTCAGTTAGTTTCACATTCCAGCTCAGGCTTCATCTGTACTACGACGGTGGATATTGCTCGTCCGCCTGCCGCCAACTCTAGCAGGCTTGTAACTGCGCATGCATGTCGCACACGGCTAGTCGAACGCTGAACTCTTCATTGAGACAATGCTGAAACATCAATCCCATGGACGAGTCAGTACCACATTTTCATTGGTGCCGAAAACAAAATGAAAGAAAGGTTGTCTTGCAAATTCAGCAGGCTATGGTGTGAAATAGGCTTTTAGAAGAGCTGTCTTTATTTTATTACTTATCGTTAATGCCGTCTTTGCTGTGATTTGGTGATGTGCTTATCAATGCACAAGCACCTTTTTTCCCACTCCTATCGCTAAAATAATTGTATTAAGTCACACAAAAGTTTTACTGTGCGTGAAGTTTCAAATGAATTCTGTCAGTACTAATTGTGTAATGTGATAGGTATTTTAAGATTTTTTTTAAATGTAACAAAAACACTTGATTAATAAATACCTTTTTCAGTTGTGTTCCTCAAATTAAGTGGATGATGACGCAATCAAGAGCGAGAGAATCTGATATCATTGGTCCTCAAATCGTGGCTCAGACACTTCATTCAGCATAAACAGTCCTGACTAGTTCTGAAGGATTCGTTGCCATATAAATGTACCTGGCTAAAAGGTGAGCCACTTTTGTGGTACCGGTTATCCCGAGTTGAACTCAGAGTTGACCAAAGTTACCTCTGTAAATCCTCAAACCTGGTACTCCCCAGTGTATTTCCTCTCAGTGTGTCATCCCATCAGGTCATTAACGGGCCCAGTGTCGTAGTAAATATATAATGTTATAGCTTGGTCTGACTAAAATCTTGTGCATGACCCATCTTGTGTTGGGCCTTTGTATTTAATACAATGCACAAAAGACTTCTATCTTGTCGGCCTTATCAGCAGGTGGCTATGGACAACACCCACGCCATAGGTCTCTCAGTTCTCCCAACTCACGAGTTCTTGCGCTGAGGACACACACACACACACCCCCACACACACACACACATACACACACACACACACACACACATTATCATTGTTAAACATACACACACATACACACACACACACACACACACACACACACACACACACACACCTACACACACGCACACACACACACACACACATCATCATTGTTAAGCACACACACACACAAAAACCCCCTTCTCTTAGGCTGAACATCTGAAGACAGAGAACCCGACTCAGAGCCAATGCAACAGTGACACTAGCCTGGAGGTGACCTCGCCCAACTCATCAGGACCAATCAGAAGATCAGAACTGCTAGAATCAACCTACTTCATTTTATTGTATAAAATGTCAGCACACAATGTTTAGGGGCTCGCTCTCTCAGATATCTCCCTACGAGATTGACGAACGGGTCCGTGCACGCTATTTACAGATATCTTTACCTCTGAATAAACTGCCTTATATTATACAATTATCCACCTTGTCCGAAAGTCTCTACTTGGTCTCCGTTCTCCAGTAAACTTGTGATCATCAACACCAGCCACACATCAGGTGACCGGGTCAATCAATAAAGCTAGCAGACTCTCTTCATTAGAGGTCCCACTGCTAGGTAAGCTGTCACTCCGCTGCTCTGTCTCTGGTTCAGAGCCCCACAGACCATAACACCACCCAGGAAACACAAGGTGCACTGTCACCCTCTGTGTCTCTTACATCACATCTGTCTGGTGGTGGTGAATAAGCTATGTCTAGGGAACAAGATTCAGCTTTTATAATGCAATCCATTAAAGATGTTGATTCAGACGTAAGGGGTTAGGGAAGCAGGGAACGGTGGATCAATCTCAGGGTGTGTTAATGAATGACGTTCTCTCTTTGAAATAGTTTACAGGTCTTGGACACCATAATGGCTGTGCACTTCAGGCTGATGAGAATAACTACTGAGCAGGCTGAATGAAGGGAGGTTCTACCTGCACCATTTCCATAGCAATACCCACTGAGTGCTTAGAGTGCTTTGAACTTTCATTAGGCATGGTATTACATGATGTGATGTGTTTTGCATCGTGGGTTAGGTTTGGGACTATTTTCAGAAGATAGTGTAATACAGTATAAGGAATAAACCTCTGTGTGACGACTTTGGACATTTCATTGCTATCCCTTCATTGGGCGCCAAATTCAGATTCCAAATGTTTGCAGTTGTTTGTTCATGTTGCTAGAGTTTTCAAGTGCATTCCTACTGCTAGACATCAATTCATGTTAATGGATGAAATACCTGTTTGGACTTTTGACCTGTTCAGGTTGCTAATTTTGAGTTGAGCATAGGCTGGATAATTATTTGCACTCAAATGTATAGGCGCTCTGCCTAGTTTAATGGTGCTCTGCCTAATTTAAAGGTGCTCTGCACCAGTAAATAAATACCACCTTCTGCACCAGTAAATAAATACCACCTTCTGCACCAGTAAATAAATACCACCTTCTGCACCAGTAAATAAATACCACCTTCTGCACCAGTAAATAAATACCACATTCTGCACCAGTAAATAAATACCACAATCTGCACCAGTAAATAAATACCACTACTGCACCATTTTGTCTGACTCCTGACGCTTCGTACCCCCTGACAGGATGCCTATGGTCTTGCATTCTGTTACATGCAAAGTGTTAAAAAAAATCTCCAGCGACATTGTTTAGAAAACTACGGAGGAGAAAAGACAAGCGCTTAACGTAATTGTGTTACATTCTAACCAAATCATTGACTTTGAGTTGGCCTCAAGTCCTCATGCTACCCCACAGATGCACAGATAGTGAACAGCTGATTACGTTGAAGCAGGCCTATGTATCAAGTTTAACATTTATTGTCAAGTACAGTGAAAGGCCTTTCTTGCCTGCTCTCTCCCAACAATGCAGTAATCAATATCAATAGTAGCCTGCTTAAAGAAATACTAAATAACAAAGTAAAGTAGAACAAAAACACACAAGAAATAGATCTGTAACTACAGTTTTTTTTTCCTGCCCTACAAGGTTTTAGTACCTCATATTTAGGTTTGGGTAGAAGTCGATATAAAACAATGTTGAATTCAAACGTTCTGCTGACAGGTCCACGACAATATGCCATTGTTGTCTCTTTCAGAAACTGACAGTTCTTTACCAGATACAGCATCAATTACTGCTAAAGACTAAAACATTCTGCCATCACAGTAAATAGACCAGTAGTTTATGTAAAATATGACAGCATGGGTAGGCTACAGTATTGCTGAGCGATAGAAGCGCGACATCATTGCCTATTTAATCTCAGAGCCTACACCAAGGCTGTAAGGTTCTGTATTTATTTTCTTAGTTCACCTTGTGTTCTTGAACGTAGCCCTGTTTCTTTGTGTTCTTGAACGTAGCCCTGTTTCTTTGTGTTCTTGAACGTAGCCCTGTTTCTTTGTGTTCTTGAACGTAGCCCTGTTTCTTTGTGTTCTTGAACGTAGCCCTGTCTTTCATTTTGGTTCATTGATTTCACCTGTGTTAGTTACTCACCTGGTCTCATCAGCTCCTTATTTAGCTCAGTTCTTTCTGTTTGTGCCTCGTGAGGTATTGTTCGTTTTGACTCTACTAAGCCTTTTCCTAGCTCGTTTGTGAGAACCAGTTATAGCCTTCAGTCCTAGTTTTTGATTCTCCGGCCTGTTTGCCTACCTGTGTATGACCATTGCCTGCCTGTGACCATGATTCCTGCCTTCTGTGAAGGCGAAATAAACACCTGCTGCAAGCTCTGCGTGTGAATCTACACCTTTTTCTCCCCGAGTATTCATTACAAAGGCAGGACATAGAAACCCAATAATCTATTGATAAACTAAATATTGAACAACAATTTGTCTTTTGCATGTCGTGGCCTAATAATGCCAATAATTCCAAATTACACAACAAATAAAGGGCGTTTTGTCACCATAAAAGGTGAATGGAGGCATTTTCCAGGCTGGGAGCGTTAATGCTTGTTCATACCCTCACAGTTTTACGACAGGTCGGGTTTATAACGGGAAACATGCGTATGTATTGTGCGAGGCAAGTTTATAAATCTCAAAATTTTTGTATGTGCAAAGACTTTTTAGAAATGGAGAAAGCAGAAATGTTTTGTCAAATGTATGCAATGGCTATAAATGAGGCCTCTGGGTCATACCATATTCGCACTTATCTCTGACTGTTTGTGTGAGCTTCCTGCCTCCCTTGTCTCCTTCAACTGAGAATGTTCCGGCGCCCCCCAGTGATGAGCCCAATCAATCACCCCCCTTGGAAAAGGTTACTTGACTTTGGCTAGGCACCGGCACCCCCTGCCCACACCATGCTCATCAACACTCCCCACCTACTGCACTGAGGAGATGTATATTTATCTTTGTCTCTCTCTCTCTGGTAGTCAGACAGGGACCTCAGCTGTACTCTGTAACCACTGTGCTTTTAAAACCCCACTGGATGTGTGTCTCTGTGGTACCACATGGTCCATTTCACAAGATGTTGTGGGAATACACTGCAGGCTCAGATACAGGCTTGGTGCAACAGATTTTTCTAAGTGGCTGGAAGGATTTTGTGTGTAATGTAACCATGAAATATGATAGCAACATCGCCTTTCAACACCCAGTAAAAGGAAAAATATTCTAAAGTTACCACCATCAACAACGCAATGACCATAGACTACATCGCTTAAACAAACAATTGTTTGTCATTTTATAAACCAACCATTAAACCAATCATTTTGCCAATGATGAATTTTGTATGAAAAATCTTCCTACAGCTGGATAGGCCTATGGCGCATATCTGAGGAAAATTAAAGTTGTGCTCTCTTACTGGAATGGCTGGCCTTGAGCTTGGTTGATTCCACAGCTCCTCGTCCTCTCTGCCTCTGCTACACTAGATAAGATTAATAGGCTAGAATAATTAATTACATGGCAAGCAAATTATTTTCTAAAACACTCTAAAATCCTATAAGCCTGAATATGTATAATGTTGCTCATACTTTCAATTGAGCAGAAGGAGAAACAAATGAGAAAAAAACTAAATAGTGGCCAGGGGCTGGTATGAGGAGGATGCATGCTCACGGTATGAGAGACCAGCTGAAGAAATTAAAGACTGCACTCTGGTCAGCAGTGATGCTATTTTAATTCACACATGCATGAACACAGACAGCAACTGATCTGCTTGTGAAAAACACATACCAGTCCCACCGTCCCAGAGCAAATCCTCTAAGGACAGCAATTACACCTTTACACTGAGAAATGCAATGCCAATAGTATTTCATTCAATGCCAATAGTCTTTATTTGAATGCCAAAAGTCTTTCATTCAATGCCAATAGTCGTTCATTCAATGCCAATAGTCGTTCATTCAATGCCAAAAGTCTTTCATTCAATGCCAATAGTCGTTCATTCAATGCCAATAGTCGTTCATTCAATGCCAAAAGTCTTTCATTCAATGCCAATAGTCGTTCATTCAATGCCAATAGTCTTTCATTCAATGCCAATAGTCTTTCTCATTCAGTGAAACTGGGGAATCAAAAAGAGGGATGCTTTTATGTACTTTCTGGTGATGGGGTGACATCAGGGATGGGGTAACATTCGATCTCATTCAGCCACTTGTGAACCACCGTGTTCCTTCTTATTGTCTCCACCGACTCCAGAGTCAACCTCTGGCTGGGCACCCCCTGGTCCTTCCTTCCTGCAGCTCCAGGAAGAGCTCCCTGCTTCAGCCCTGTCTGCCCTCCACTCATACCCCCTCTAGCAAGGCCCAGCGCTGCCCCGCACGTGGGTGGCCTCAGCTGCTTCTCGGCAACACTACTCGTTTGGACCCTCTCGTGGAGCTTCCTGGGTTCGTCCCTGTTGCGGATCTCCCTCAGCTTCCTGTAGAAGACGCGGCAGCTGAAGCCATCCATCCAGCTGAGGCCGATGTGGTTCTGCAGTGCGGCCAGGCTGGTGTAGAGCAACAGGCACCCAGCGCACCGGTACTGGAGCTCCCCCTCTACCTGCTCCATGGTAGAGGCCATGCGCAAGAAGTTAAAGTCCAGGTGGCAGGGCTCGTATCTGGGCTCCACCGACTTGGACCGCTCCTTGGCTGAAGGCTGAGGTGGATGTGGTGGATGTCCCTGTCCCTGTCCATGAGGGCCGGGTGGGGTGTGCTTCAGGGTGATGCAGGGAGGGTGAGCAGGGATGGACTGGGTCTGTCGGAAGTGCGGCCCTGCTGTCCTCAAAACCGTGAGGGAGGGTGGCCATCTCACTGAGGCTGGGAGAGAGAACAAGAAATGAGGGGAACGCATATGAAGAACCCTGATCTATAAAGACATTGCTAGGTGAACACAAATCAATGCTCCTGACTGGCCTTTGCGCTTTTCAGATTTCTATTCAGTACAGCATTTGAGAGGTAGGCTAAACTCAAGAAAGCAGCCTATTGAAAACATCTGGCATTTATGAAGGAACTGGAGAAGTGCTCTAACCTAGCTAGAAGAAAACTACAAAACAGTTTTGTCAATGTGTGTGACAGAGGAGGCTGGAAAATTCACAAACTAGAGCATTTGTGAGAAAAACATGTTTTTTCTTAAAACATCCTTTCACATTGAATGTTTAGCACATGGAAATGGATTATCAGACTTATTTATATATTTGTTTCTGTTTTATAATCTCGTTTTGTATGCTCACATTTCTCAGAGGTGTGAATTAAATCCCAAGGCGCTGCATGTAACGTTAATGGAGTAATCACATTTGAGCGTCTCCCTATTTTTAGCCAACACATCTGAATAAATGTAAATCTCCTACACAGGCTTGTCATTATGTGTCATCTGCATTGGCTCTGCCATGTCCATTCGCTTTGGGGTAAGAAGAGCCATAGACTCCAGACTTTGGTGAGCAAGTGTGATATGTGTTCTGACTGTTCATCTCTCCGTCACCATGGAGATGCTTCTCAGATTAAATACCAGTAGATGATGGCATAAACTACAAGCAGGGCTTTCTACATGGAAGATATGAATGCAAGGAGACTTTAACCTTTGTGAATGAAAACCTATTCTCATCTCTAAATGACAAAATAGAGTTTCCACATTGTATATTAAAGGTCCATTGCATCCGTTTAATGTCAATATGAAATACATTTCTCAAGCAAGAATTTTGCTAGGACTGTGGTCTGAGTTGGGAGGGGAAAACTGAAGAATTGCTGTTATTGGCAGAGCGGTTTGGAACTGTCTTTCTTATTGGTCTATTAACTAATTTACCTGATGGTGATGTCACCATGGAAGGGCAAAACTCCATCCCAGCAAAACAGGCAACATTTTCTGGTGGTCTTTTCAAACCAGCTCTTACACTAAAATGGTATTATCATAATTTTCACAGTGTTATTCCAACCTCATAGTGTGGAAATATATATAAAACACAGGAAAATCACATTTTGGACTGCACTGTGCCTTTAAGATAATTTCAGATATCCTAAACTCTGAGTAAAACACATTCAACTGGGAAGTAGGACACTTATATTATGTTCATGTATTCATTCATTTATTTTCAACACACTCAGTTTCAAACACCTAGACAATACAGCAACAATTAAACAGTACACACATGTTCCAATCAACTGCCTCAGTGAAGCGATGCTGTCACTTCTGTCTTCTGCAGCCACTTGTGGATCATGTCTGCCTTCTTGTCCCAGGACCCTTCCTCCCGTCAACGTTGGTCGGATGGTGGGCCAGGGCCAGCGAGGCCGACCCCAGGCGCGTGATGGAGGAGCTGGAGAGCTTAGGGTCGATATCCAGGGACGGGCCTCCTTGCTCTGGCAACTCATCATGAGTATGGGCCTGCAGTCCTGCATGGTCTTCAGCTTCCCGTAGAACACCCTGCAGCTGAAGCCCTCCTTCCAGCCCTGGTCGATGTGACCCAGCAGGGTCCCCAGGTGGTCGTAGTACCTCAGGCAGCCAGAGCACCTGTACTTCCTCTCTCCGCAGACTAGTTCTGCAGCCGTGACCTTGCGGATGAAGAGAGGATCCACCTCGCTGCACAGTGACCTCTGGGAGTCGGAGCTGTGGTGGTAGCACATGGTCTTTGGCGGCTGGGGGTGAGGGTCGGTGCCGTTCGAACTGCTGGACACTGCCAGGGTTGGAGTGTCCGGGTTGAGGGAGTAGCTATGGACCATGGTGTCTTGGTGGAGGTGGTGGTCGGACCTACTGGCGCGGTACTGGCTGCTGCCCAGGTTGGTGGTGCCGAGCCTGGAGAGACTGGGGTTGAGTCTGGAGGGAGTTGTCTCTATAGCCTTTGAATGCACCTTCAGGCAGTCTGAGACTCTCACAACCTGTACAGACAGCAGGCAGTTTTCAATTCCAAGGCTTCATTAGAGGTCTAAAATTGAATCAATGAAAGAAAAATCATGTCTGCATGGCCTCTTAAAAGTCAGTCTAAATGGAAATGGTTGGAGTGTTTTCAGGGGTGGAAGTGAGTGGAAAAGGTTACTCATTTGCTCCACAGCTAGAGGTGGAAATGGGTTTGACGAACTACAGTTCACTAAGGTTATGACCTTCATCAAGCAGCAACATCTAATGGATAAATCCATTGAGTCTATCTGTACTTTTACCAAGATCGATTACCAGTTTCCCCTTCAGAAATGTCCACGTCATTGTCATGTCTCCCTGATAAACACTTTTATATGTCGACATTACATCATAACATGACTAGTGTCATAAGGGCAGCAATCTGAAAACATGAAAGAGTATGACAATATTTGTATTTTTGTTCTTATTCCTCCTTAGTGTCCACACTCATGACCTTTAGTGAATCCTGCCTACACTGTTTCAACAGCTACTTTGAGTAGATGATAACTGTTCATTAATAAATTATATGAAAAAAAATGTAATAAATTATTATTATTATTATTATTATAACACTTGAGCAATCATCATGTGCATCATCATCCCAGGCCTTCTAGAACAGTGATGTCACAAAGGGAACCCAATCTCAACATTTCACTGTGATTAACATTTTCGATGAACTAGATAAAATCAAAATAATATTGAATGCTATATTGTCGCTTAACAAGAGATGATTTTATCAGAAGTGTCAGAACAAGCATTCCTTTTCCAGATAAATGTTTATAATGTCCATTCCTCTAGCACAAGAATTTGCAAAAATATGTAGGCTACATATTTTGTGGATACCAATGCCAGTATAATCATTTACCTCTCTCTGCAGTCCTAGTGTTATCAGTAAGGTCATCTGTGGTATCATTCTTTGGCGAGCCAAGCTTCCTATAGTGTCCCTTCGTGTGATACCTGGATATATCCAGCTCTAGTCAGACGGATGTAGACACATTACTGAAACACTCAGTGGCCATGACAAAAGGCAAAAAATACTATTTGAAGTGTTACACATTTAAATAAGCAAGGCTACATCAGAACAAACAGAGAATTTGTTTAAATTCTAAACATTACATTGAGATACGAGAGAGTATTGCTGCAATTGAGAGCATGCTGCATGTGCATTCAGGGCCAGATAAATAGCAAGCCAACATTAGCTCAGATAGTCATTTGATTTTATCAGCAAGTGTGTTGACTGTATCCATAAATGTTTGCATAAACAAACATCCCACTCAACTATCAGATTAATTACTTAGCTGTAAATTTACCTTCAATCTTCTTCACAACAAAGTCCATTGGATTTTCCCCATCTACAGTTTTGTGTACAGTTCTGTTATGAGCTCTTGAAGGACTAAAATATTGCATGCTTTAAATACTTTGTTTCCTTGTTCCCCGGGAAACCAGAATTCTATGAGATCAGAGGGTTCCATTCAGAGAAGAGATACAAATTATGTAACAATGTCAGAATGCGCAAGAATTTCTGTGTCCTATGAATGCACCTATGTACGTGATCATCTTTGATCAATCAGGTAGGTGTTCACTTTCCTAGTTCCTAATGTGCAGGTAGTAATTAGATCAAGTGAATCCACTTTTCCTTTACATTCACCACAACAGAATCTAAGCAACAGCTTCAAGGCTCATGAGCACTACCTCGGTACGCAGGTCTTACCTGATTATTGCATCGTCTGGCAAGCCTCCTGAAATGAAAGTGTGTCACCAAATGTATTCAGGTATAGCAGCCGCTCACTGTGCTACTGGGCTCAATGGGTATTGGGGTTTAAGAGAAATAAACTATATGTCTCACACTCAAGACTCGTATGGTTTCTCCCTCCCCTGACAACCAAAGAGCCTTAGCTTCTCAAAGGAGTTGTACTGTAGGAAGCGTGAAATACATGATCAAGGGACATATGCATGGGATGTGGGTTATTGTGGAAGCCTTGCAGCCTCAATGTACAGTTTTCGTGTTACTACACTGAATACAAATATAAAATGCAACATGCAACAATTTCAAAGATTTTACTGAGTTATGGTTCATATAAGGAATTGAAATAAATTCATTAGGCCCTAATCTATGGATTTCACATGACTGGGAATACAGATATGCATCTGTTGGTCACAGATACCTTAAAAAAAAAAAAACCTGTGGATCAGAAAACCAGTCAGTATCTGGTGTGACCACCATTTGCCTCATGCAGCGCAACATCTCCTTCGCATAGAGTTGATCAGGCTGTTGATTGTGGCCTGTGAAAAGTTGTCCCACTCCTCTTCAATGGCTGTGCAAAGTTGCTGGATATTGGCGGGTACACGTTGATCCAGAGCATCCCAAACATACTCAATGGGTGACATGTCTGGTGAATATGCAGACCATGGAAGAACTGGGACATTTTCAGCTTCCAGGAATTGTGTACAGATCGTTGCGACGTGGGGCCGTGCATTACCAGGCTGAAACATGAGGTGATGGTGGCGGATGAATGGCACGACAATGGGCCTTAGGATCTCGTCACGGTATCTCTGTGCATTCAAATTGCCATAGATAAAATGCAATTGTGTTCATTGTCTGTAGCTTATGCCTGCCCATACCATAACCCCACCACCACAGGGCACTCGTTTCACAACGTTGACATCAGCAAACCGCTCACCCACACGACGCCATACTCGCTGTTTGCCATCTGCCCGATACAGTTGAAACCGGGATTCATCTGTGAAGAGCACACTTCTCCAGCGTGCCAGTGGCCATCGAAGGTGAGCATTTGCCCACTGAAGTCGGTTACGATGCCGAACACCAGTCAGGTCAAGACCCTGGTGAGGATGATGAGCATGCAGATGAGCTTCCATGAGATGGTTTCTGACAGTTTGTGGAGACATTCTTCGGTTGTGCAAACCCACAGTTTCATCAGCTGTCCAGGTGGCTGGTCTTAGAAGATCCCGCAGGTGAAGAAGCCGGATGTGGATGTCCTGGGCTGGCGTGGTTACACGTGGTCTGCAGTTGTGAGACCGGTTTGGACGTACTGTCAAATTCTCTAAAACAACGTTGGATACGGCTTATGGTAGATAAATTAACATTAAATTCTCTGGCAACAGCTCTGGTGGACATTCCTGCAGTCAGTATGCCAATTGCAAAACTCCCTCAAAACTTCAGACATCTGCGGCATTGTGTTGTTTGACAAAACTGCACATTTTAGAATGGCCTTTTATTGTCCCCAGCACAAGGTGCACCTGTGTAATTATCATGCTGTTTAATCAGCCTCTTGATATGCCACACCTGTCAGGTAGATGAATTATCTTTGGAAAAGAGAAATGCTCACTAACAGGGTTGTAAACAAATTTGTGCACAAAATTTGAGAGAAATACTATTTTTGTGCATATTGAAAATTCTGGGATGTTTTTTTTCAGCTCATGAAACACAGGACCAACACTTCACATGCGTTCAAAATATGTACACTACTAGTCAAAAGTTATAGAACACCTACTCATTCAAGGGATTGTCTTTATTTTACTATTTTCTACATTGTAGAATAATAGTGAAGACATCAAAACTATGAAATAACACATATGGAATCATGTAGGAAGTTTGCACACTCTTGGCATTCTCTGAACCAGCTTCATGAGGTAGTCACCTGGAATGCATTTCAATTAACAGGTGTGCCTTCTTAAAAGTTAATTTGTGGAATTTATTTCCTTCTTAATGCAATTGAGCCAATCAGTTGTGTTGTGACAAGGTAGGGGGGGGTATACAGAAGATAGCCCTATTTGGTAAAAGACCAATTCCATATTATGGCAAGAACAGCTCATAAGAATCCCAAATATAAAATATATTTTGATTTATTTAACACTTTTTTGGTTACTACATCATTCCATATGTGTTATTTCATAGTTTATGTCTTCACTATTATTCTACAATGTAGAAAAATAGTAAAAATAAAGAAAAACCCTTGAATGAGTAGGTGTTCTAAAACTTTTGACCGGTAGTGTACATCACTATTATACATAAAGATACATCTATTTCCTGGAGAAGGTTATTAAGGTCTTTCCGCGTTAACAACTTATGCATTATATTTCTGGGAACGCTGAATTTTTACACATACCATACACTATTCACAATGGCAAAAATACAATATATACACTATACAAGGAGTGTATAGTACTCAGCGCTGATCTTTAGCTAAAGCAGATTGACATCTCGGCAGCATTAGTGCCTGTCAGAATGTGAAGGGTTCCATCTAGTCCTTCCGAGAGCGTGTCATTCTGTGAGAAAGAGCCAGCAGCTTGACCCCCAGCTGTGCGTTCAGCAGACTGAAATGTTCCGAAATAGATATCTTATATCTGCTCTACAGATAGACCACAGGTCTTCACTCCATGATTTTAAGAAAATCACATCTTTGTTAAATGTCGGTTTATGAGGTTACAATTTGCAACACAAAGGAACATTTCAGCCTTCCTGAACAGGCCCCAGCTAGTTCCCTTCAGTGTTTCTGTGAGAAGAGAGACAGTGAACACAGCTCTAACTCTTAACTACCAAGGTTCTAATCCCCTTTCTTTCCTCCACTGCCCCAGAGAGCCAGCCTAGGCAGATGACACCACACACAAAGAGGCCCACGCAGGCACCCTATGAAATATCAAACAGCGGAGCTTCATGAATGAGTAATTGAGGAAGACTGCAGGGCATTGCTGAGGCACAGGGGGAAGAGAGGTACTTGGCATGAGCTCGACATTTCACCATCTCACACAGCAGCTGGTGTTAAAACCAATCAAATATGATTTGAACATAACTCTCTCTCTCTCCACAAAGAGGATAATGGGAATGGATCCACCAGCATCAGTCTATATTATTATGACTGGGATGGATGAGTCATATATGGAAAATGTAAATGATATGTGTAGTGTTCTTTTTGGGGGGATACTTTTTTTTTTTTAAGGTACAGTACTCGAAAAATACCTGCCTGTGTGGTAGCCCACAGCAAATTACATAGATAGGCATCTGAAATGTACATAAATACAATGTCGTGTACTGTAATGGTATGAAGGGGAAAGATGGTGTGAATTCAGGCATTTGTGCTTTGAAGAAAATACATACCAACCAAGAATACAATACTTAAAAGTTTTACTTTGTATTATTATTATTATTATTCAGAAATTAAACGTTACACATGAAATACTTTTTCAGAATGGTACTAGAAAATGGTACATTAATATGACTACAAACTCAGTGTCATCAAATCTGTTCCATTTGATGATCAGTTCCTAAAAATAAAATAAAAAATATTCTGAATTAATATCTAATTTTCTGTTGATGGTTAAGGCCACTGGTGAATGAAGAACAGCATATTGATTGAACAATCTCTTTAAAAAAAGTAGTGCCCAACATAGGGAACAGGGTGCCACTAGGGACGCACCCAGAGTACTGTGTCCCATACAGACAGAGAACGTCTGGACAGCTAGCGGAACATCACACTTTATGATGTACGGTGATAGAGAAGTGCCTCCCCATTCTATGACCTGCCAGAAAGATATTAAGTAAACCTGGTGAATGGTCACTTATCCAATTTACTGCGGTCATCTACCATGTCAAATTAACATGTTTTACAATGTAGTGACATGCCTGGAATAACAGATGACTAAGGAAACAGTAAATAACACTACTATAACTGAGGAAACATCATCTCATATTTATTCAACTCCCTGGCGCAACAATATGTCTACGTCCCAATTGGCACCCTATTTCCTATATAGTGCACTACTTTTGACCAGAACCATATGGGCCATGTTCAAAAGTAGCGCACTATACAGGGAATTGGTTGACATTTTGTGATTCACCCGGTCTTGATGACACCTTGTGCCCTATAGCAGCCCATACTCAACTGGATCAATCCGGACCCAGAACGGGGTCAATCCGGACCCAGAACGGGGTAATCTGGATCAAGAAAGGGGTCGATATGGACCGCAGGTCCTGACGAAATAAAAATGATTAATTCTTTGGGAATCTCAGTCGGGATTTCAACTTACTGCTGTTGAGAGTTATAATAATAGAATGCACAAGGTGCAATTTGTAAATGTGGTAGTGCATGGGCAGTTTTCCTCTTGTTATGTCATTCACTGACAGACCATAGAGAGCTATTTATAACCTGTCAGAAATGTCCAGTTAATTACTACTAGTGCATGTCAGCTAGATAGCTGGTTAGCCTAACTTGCCTATCTACATCTTGTAGTTATCTGATTATGTGCACAGGGGCCTCCACCCCCAGGGAGCCCCCATTGATTTTGTTGAGCTACTCAGGTATCATATGAACGAACACACATAAGACACAGCAAAATGTGTAGAATTTCAGGAAATTAGATTTCAAACTGCAACTTGTTTTATCTCCGCCAACAAGAGGGGTGTGAACAGTTTGAACAGTTTTGGGTCGCAACGTTGGGGTTTGTTACTACGTTGATAACCTTTGCCACCGAGGAAATGTGTGTGACCCGACCTCTGTACTATAGTGCACTATATAGGGAATAAGTGGGTATCGTTTGAGATTTGTCCTTAATTTCTTTTAATGAAAATGTGGATTTGTTTTATAATTCCATGGGTATCTTTCCATCTCTTTTTGCATCAGGTAAGGCTTCTGGGTAAAATGGCCCAAATGATGGCCTTAAGGAACGTTTCCTATTTATTGTCAACAATTGTTTTCCCCATTTGTTGTTGCTATAAATAAAGTCAAGTGGATCGATTCACTTAGTGCTGAATTAATAAAGATAGTAATACACGCTGACATGAACGATGATTCATAAGTAAGTAAACAAACATTGAGTAAATATATCATTTAAAATAAACATGAATTGTAATGTAATTAACACACCCAATACACAGTTGAAGTCGGAAGTTAGGTTGGAGTCACTTAGGTTGGAGTCATTAAAACTAGTTTTTCAACCACTCCACAAATGTCTTGTTAACAAACTATAGTTTTGGCAAGTCGGTTAGGACATCTACTTTGTGCATGATACAAGTATTTTTTCCAACAATTGTTTACAGACAGATTATTTCACTGTAACACAATTCCAGTGGGTCAGAAGTTTACATACACTAAGTTGACTGTACCTTTAAACAGCTTGGAAAATTCCAGATAGTGATGTCATTGCTTTAGAAGCTTCTGATAGGCTAATTGACATCATTTGAGTCAATTGGAGGTGTTCCTGTGGATGTATTTCAAGGGCTATTTTCAAACTCAGTGCCTCTTTGCTTGACATCATGGGAAAATAAAAAAAGAAATCAGCCAAGGCCTCAGAAAAAAAATTGTAGACCTCCACAAGTCTGGTTCATCCTTGGGAGCAATTTCCAAATGCCTGAAGGTACCACGTTCATCTGTACAAACAGTAGTACACAAGTATAAACACCATGGGACCACGCAGCTGTCACACCGCTCAGGAAGGAGACGCGTTCTGTCTCCTAGAGATGAACGTACTTTGGTGCGAAAAGTGCAAATCAATCCAAGAACAACAGCAAAGGACCTTGTGGAGATGCTGGAGGAAACAGGTACAAAAGTATCTATATCCACAGTAAAACGAGTCCTATATCGACATAACCTGAAAGGCCGCTCAGCAAGGAAGAAGCAACTGCTCCAAAACCGCCATAAAAAAAGCCAGACTACAGTTTGCAACTGCACATTGGGACAAAGATCGTACTTTTTGGAGAAATGTCCTCTGGTCTGATGAAACAAAAATAGAACTGTTTGGCCTTAATGACCATCGTTATGTTTGGAGGAAAAAGGGGAACGCTTGCAAGCCGAAGAACACCATCCCAACCGTGAAGCACGGGGGTGGCAGCATCATGCTTTGCTGCAGGAGGGACTGGTGCACTTCACAAAATAGATGGCATCATGAGGAAGGAAAATTATGTGGATATATTGAAGCAACATCTCAAGACATCAGTCAGGAAGTTAAAGCTTGGTTGCAAATGGGTCTTCCAAATGGACAATGACCCCAAGCATACTTCCAAAGTTGTGGCAAAATGGCTTAAGGACAACAAAGTCAAGGTATTGGAGTGGCCATCACAAAGCCCTGACCTCAATTCTATAAAAAAATATGTGGGCAGAACTGAAAAAGCATGTGCGAGCAAGGAAGCCTACAAACCTGACTCCGTTACACCAGCTCTGTCAGGAGGAATGGGCCAAAATTCACCCAACTTATTGTGGGAAGCTTGTGGAAGTCTACGCGAAACATTTGACCCAAGTTAAACAATTTAAAGGCAATGCTACCAAATACTAATTGAGTGTATGTAAACTTCTGACCCACTGGGAATGTGATGAAAGAAATAAAAGCTGAAATAAGTCATTCTCTCTACTATTAATCTGAGATTTCACATTCTTAAAATAAAGTGGTGATCCTAACTGACCTAAAACAGGGAATTTTTACTAGGATTAAATGTCAGGAATTGTGAAAAACTGAGTTTAAATGTATTTGGCTAAGGTGTATGTAAACTTCCGACTTCAACTGTAGCTACGTTTAGTCTTAGTAGCTTCACTCGATTAGGAAAATAACAATCTCACTAGGATTTGATTGCATTGACAAGACGTATGTTAGACCAAAAAACATTAAAGTATTCCTTCTTTCAGAAAAGTTTCAATTGGGAGTGCTGACATCAAAGTTATGAATGAACACAACTAAAGACTGGAGTGGAATTTCTCCTACGATCAGTAGTCGAGTGGATAAAGAGGTACTGCGTGTTGTCATAAGCCTATGAGCTGAGCCAATCGAATGTTAAACAGTCCCTCCAGGATTCTGTGATCCCACATATTATGCGAGGGCTTGCAAATTTGACCAATCACCACACTATTTCTGCATAAATAATTCAATATTATCGCATAAAACTGATCCATCACGGCAGTACAAAAATGTTAACCAATCACTGTACATTTAAGCTGTACAATCAAGCTACACGTCAACAAATTGAACAAAATCGTTGCATACTGCCTTGCAAGATTTTTTCCCCGCAAATATCACACAAAAAAACCCCACAAAATCCTGGAGGGACTGGTTAGAGTAGTTAGCACTTATAAAAAATAAAAATAAACACGTATAAAACAAAGAACTTGCTCCCAAAAATACCTGAATAATGTACAACTCGCATCACATCACTGAGAACATGCTGGATGGAGTGAAATAAATCAGCACACAAGATGGAAGCTTTGGCTCTCTCTAGAGGTTGAGTCTGAGATTTACAGCTATAATGTAATGCAAGTACATAAGTGTCTGTCAAGATCAATGCAATGCCAAAAACATCCACTACCAGCTGCTAAGTGGTCCCGTGTTCCAGAGAAAGAACGTGAGAATAAAAAGCAGGTGTGGCTTCAGTCAGATGAACAGATAGGTGGAATGCACCTTGGTTTCACCCCTCTTCCTTAACCAAGGAAAAACAAGCACAATGCCAAGTACAATGCCAGCATGTCATTAAATCCCACACTATACCCTGGATTTAAAAATGTGTCACAAATATCCCAGTCCATTCCCAACCTCCTCCGTCTCCCAGATTTTTAAAAATTGCCACAAAAAAAAGATTTGAGAAGTAGATATGTGGTATGCGTTAATATCAAATAATCAAATACGAAAATGTCAACGTTGTCCAGCAAGCACACGGTTGTGCATAGATACAGGAGGTGAGATAACGTTTAGCCTGACCAGGGTCATATTCATTAGGTCAAAACGGTGTGCAACAGAAAACGGAATGATTCCTATTGGACTACTTCAGATAGAACCTCCCCGTTTCAGACCATTTTCTTCTGTTTTGTTTCTAGTGAATATGACCCAGGCCATCTCCACAGCATAAGGACGCTGGACCTGAGTATTGGGGTCCCTCCAGCCCTCTACCCCAGGGTTAAGAGTGTGGTTGACCCTTCACCCCAGGGATTTCAGCAGGCCCGCTCCACTATGAACCCCTCTCCTCAAAAAACCACTTCTGGTTGGCGTGGTCTGAGCAGGGCCGCAGGGCGGGGGCAGGGCTGTCGTTGTCTGTCTTGTCCACGGCCTGGACACACTTCTGGGTCATCACGTGGTAGAGGCTGTCGTCCTAGTGGAGAGGAGTTATAAAAAACGTTACCTTTATTTATACAGGTTATTGAAATACAATCTATTTTACAAGACAGGCCAAATGGACCACTAGTATAGAGTAGGGAAGCAATGTCCTGGTCCTTAAGGCCTATTACCTTATGCTGTTCTAAAATCCTTCCCTTTAACCAGCTAATATCTACCTAAACAACCAAGTGTGTGGACACACTAGCCAACCAATGAAATTTAGCGCCAAGGAGATATTAACACCAGTAGGACTGGATACAGCCCTGGAGTAGTGGAGCTGTGAACCACTGGTGTGTAGACTACATACATACATTACAGAGAGGGGAGCAGTGCAGTGTGAAAACAGCCATATCACAATCCATTCAAATCCTCATGTTTTAATGCGGAGAAGGCCAAGAAACTGTCCCTCGCCTTCTGTCAACTGCTCCCTCTCCCTCCAGCTATTAACATGTCTGGAAACCAGGGGTGCAACTTTGGTTTTAGAAGTGGGGGGACATACATTTATATATGTTTTTTAATCCAGTCGGATAAACACGTGAAACAGCCTACCCGACCGCTCGGAGGCGTCTGCATGGTCCTAAAGCACACCGTTGCCTCGTTTTGTATCACATTCCAATGCTAAAACTGGGGGGGGGGGGGGGGGGACAAAATGCCATTTCAGAATGTGGGGGGGGGGGACGAACATGTCCCCCCCGTCCCCAGTGAAAGTTGCGCCCCTGCTGGAAACACTGAACACATATACCTGTGCTAAACTACCACAACAAGCATGGACTGTACACCCAGTCAATAGGCTACCTCAATGCTTTATGATCCATTGTGTACGAACCTCCACAAAAACACATCACCTGAGATACTTCAAAGTTATCCAGAAGACATTATTTGATAATAATATTTGATAATATTCCATAGAGAGACTAGGGGTATTAAGATCTACTAAAGTGATACTGGGATGAGTCTGTATCTGAAGGGAGTTGGAGTCTGTGGAGGCTAAGGCACTTGAGGGTGAGAGAGAGAGAGCGCAAGAGAGAAAGAGTGCTGAGAGAGGTAGCGCTGAAAGAGCATGAAAATGAGAGAGCTGAGAGGGAGAGAGATGGATAACAAAGCCATCACCTACAGAGAGATTAACCTAGAGAAGAGTCCCCTAAGCAAGCTGGTCCTGGGGCTCTGTTCACAAACACAAACAGACCCCACAGAGTCCCAGGACAGCAACAGGAACATAATTAGACCCAACGAAATCATGAGAAAACAAAAAGATAATTACTTGACACATTGGAAAGAATTAACCAAAAAACAGCGCAAACTGGCTTGCTATTTGGCCCTAAACAGAGAGTACACATTGGCAGAATACCTAACCACTGTGACTGACCCACAATTAAGGAAAGCTTTGACTATCTACAGACTCAGTGAGCATAGCCTTGCTATTGAGAGAGGCCACTGTAGGCAGACCTGGCTCTCAAGAGAAGACAGGCTATGTGCACACTGCCCACAAAATGAGGTGGAAACTGAGCTGCATTTCCTAACTGCCTGCCAAATGTATGACCATATTAGAGACACATATTTCCCTCAGATTATACAGAAATGTCTCTATTCCTTTGAAAACTTTTGTAAGTGGAATGTTCACTGTTCATTATCTATTTCACTTGCTTTGGCAATGTAAACATATGTTTCCCATGCCAATAAAGCCCTTTGAATTGAATTAAATTGATAGAGGTACAGTGCCTTGCAAAAGTATTCATCCCCCTTGGTGTCTTTCCTATTTTGTTGCATTACAACCTGTAATTTAAATTGATTTTTATTTGGATTTCATGTTATGGACATACACAAAATAGTCCAAATTGGTGAAGTGAAATGAAAAAAATAACTGCATATGTATTCACCCCCTTTGCTATGAAACCCCTAAATAAGATATGGTGCAACCCATTACCTTCAGAAGTCACATAATTAGTTAAATAAAGTCCACCTGTGTGCAATCTAAGTGTCACATGATCTGTCCCATGATCTCAGTATATATACACCTGTTCTGAAAGGCCCCAGAGTCTGCAACACCACTAAGCAAGGGGCACCACCAAGCAAGCGGCACCATGAAGACCAAGGAGCTCTCCAAACAGGTCAGGGACAAAGTTGTGGAGAAGTACAGATCAGGGTTGGGTTATAAAAAAATATCAGAAACTTTGAACATCCCACGGAGCACCATTAAATCCATTATTAAAAAATGCCCACCAAAACTCACGGACCAGGCAAGGAGGGCATTAATCAGAGAGGCAACAAGACCAAAGATAACCCTGAAGGAGCTGCAAAGCTCCACAGCGGAGATTGGAGTATCTGTCCATAGGACCACTTTAAGTTGTACACTCCACAGAGCTGGGCTTTATGGAAGAGTGGCCAGAAAAAAGTCATTGCTTAACAAAAAAAATAAGCAAACATGTTTGGTGTTCGCCAAAAGGCATGTGGGAGACTCCCCACACATATGGAAGAAGGTACTCAGTCAGATGAGACTAAAATTGAGCTTTTTGGCCATCAAGAAAAACGCTATGTCTGGCGCAAACCCAACACCTCTCATCACCCCGAGAACACCATCCCCACAGTGAAGCATGGTGGTGGCAGCATCATGCTGTGAGGATGTTTTTCCATCGGCAGGGACTGGGAAACTGGTCAGAATTGAAGGAATGATGGATGGCGCTAAATACAGGGAAACTCTTGAGGGAAACCTGTTTCAGTCTTCCAGAGATTTGAGACTGGGATGGAGGTTCACCTTCCAGCAGGACAATGACCTTAACCATACTGTTAAAGCAACACTCAAGTGGTTTAAGGGGAAACATTTAAATGTCTTGGAATGCCCTAGTCAAAGCCCAGACCTCAATCCAATTGAGAATCTGTGGTATGACTTAAAGATTGCTGTACACCAGCGGAACCTATCCAACTTGAAGGAGCTGGAGCAGTTTTTCCTTGAAGAATGGGCAAAAATCCCAGTGGCTAGATGTGCCAAGCTTATAGAGACATACCCCAAGAGACTTGCAGCTGTAATTGCTGCAAAAGGTGGCTCTACAAAGTATTGCCTTTGGGGGGGTGAATAGTTATGCACGCTCAAGTTCTGTTTTTGTTGTCTTATTTCTTGTTTGTTTCACAATAAAACATATTTTGCATCTTCAAAGTGGTAGGCATGTTGTGTAAATCAAATTATACAAACCCCCCAAAATAAATTTTAATTCCAGGTTGTAAGGCAACAAAATAGGAAAAATGCCAAGGGGGGTGAATATTTTCGCAAGTCACTGTAGAGCTGAGAGAGAGAAATAGAGAGATGAGAGCTGAGGGGAGGGGAGGGGAGGGGAGGGGAGGGGGGAGGGGAGGGGGAGGGGAGGGCTTAATGTCAGTGTTTGTCAAAGCTTTCCTTTGAACATGCTCTGAAGGCCTCGAGGCCGCTCCGACAAGAAAGTCAACAGAACAGACAGAACACAAGAGTGCTTAGTGAAAACCAACATTTAGCTACACCCGTACTGTACTCTACTGTATACAGTGCCTTCAGAAAGTACTCATGCCCCTTGACCTTTTCCACATTTTGTTATGTTACAAAGTGGGATTAAAACAGATTATATTGTCAATTTTTGTCAACAATCTACTCAAAATACTCTGTAAAAGTGGACGACAAATTCTAACATTTGTTAAACATTTCTGGAAAATAAAACACTCATATATCTTGATTAGATAAGTATTCAACCCCCTGAGTCAATACATGTTAGAATCACCTTTGCACACCTGGATTGTACAATAATTGCCCATTATTCATTTAAAAATGTGTTGGTTGTTGATCATTGCTAGACAGCCATTTTCAAGTCTTGCCATAGATTTTCAAGATGATTTAAGACAAAACTGTAACTAGGCCACTCCAGTGTATATTTAGCCTTGTGTTTTAGGTAATTGTCCTGCTGAAAGGTGATTTTAGCTCCCAGTGTCTGTTGGAAAGCAGACAACCAATTTTTCCTCTAGGATTTTGCCTGTGCTTAGCTCTATTCCGTTTCTTTTTATCCTGAAAAACTCCCTAGTCCTCGCCGATGACAAGCATACCCATAACGTGATGCAGCCACCACCATGCTTTAAAATATGAAGAGTGGTACTCGGTGATGTGTTGGGTTTGCCCCAAACATAACACTTTGTATTCAGGACAAAAAGTTAATTTCTTTGCCAAAATATTTGCAGGATTACTTTGGTGCCTTACTGCAAACAGGATGCATGTTTTGGAATATTTGTATTCTGTACAGGCTTCCTTCTTTTCACTCTGTCATTTATGTTAGTATTGTGGAGTAACTACAGTGTTGTTGATCCATCCTCTCCTATCACAACCATTAAACTCTAACTGTTTTAAAGTCACCATTGGGCTCATGGTGAAATCCCTGAGTGGTTTCCTTCCTCTCTGGCAACTGAGTTAGGAAGGGTGCCTGTATCTTTGTAGTGGCTGGGTGTATTGATACACCATCCAAAGTGTAATTAATAACTGCACCGTGCTCAAAGGAATATTTAAATGTGTGTGTATGTTTATTTATTTTTTCTACCAATAGTTGCCCTTCTTTGCGAACCATTGGAAAACCTCCCTGGTGTTTGTGGCTGAATCTGTGTTTCAAAATCACTACTCGACTGAGGGACCTTACAGATAATTGTATGTGTGCGGTACCGAGATGGGGTAGTCATTTAAAAATCATGTAAAACAAAATTATTGCAGACAGAGTGAGTCCATGCAATTTAAGCAACGTTTTACTCCTGAACTTATTTAGGCTTGCCATAACAAAAAAGGGTTGAATACTTATTGACTAAAGACATTTCCGCTTTTCATTTTTAATTAATTTGTAAACATTTCTAAAAATAGAATTCCACTTTGACATTATGGGATATTTTGTGTAGCTCAGGGACACAAAAATCTACATTTAATCCATTTTAAATTCAGGATGTAACACAGCAAAATGTGGAAAAAGTCCAGGGGTGTGAATACTTTCTGAAGGCACTGTATGTCCATGTGTTCATCTGGGTTTTCCACTCCACCCTCTTCAGAGGACGCTGGTGGACAGAGATCTAAGAGGACTGGTTCATTGTAATGGCTGAATGGAACGGTATCAAACATATGATTTCCATGTGTTTGATACCCTTACATTGATTCCATTACAAAAGCCTGTCCTCCTATATCTCCGCCAGCCAGCCAGCCCTCACTCTCCCTCTCCCTCCCTCCGCCCCCCTTTTCACTCACTCACTCACTCACTCACTCACTCACTCACTCACTCACTCACTCACTCACTCACTGTTTGCTGTCATGATGTGGGATGAAAACACAGTCCCCATCCAGCTCACCTCTCTGAGGACAAACTTCTGGTCCTCTGGTACAGGCTGCCGGGGTTTCCTGCACAGGTGCACGGTCAGGTAGGTGGAGACGGCGTCCCCCACAGCGCACCCTGCTGGCTCCCTGGTGTTATAGCGGATCTCGCTACTCTCACTGGAGTACTCAAAGAACTGCAACAGGAGAGATGCAGGGTGAGACCAGCAGAGTGTGGGCAGTGTGTGTGTGTGTGTGTGTGTGTGTTGTTTTGTCCCATGCAGCTGACCTCACACACCATGGTACCTGCTTTCCTTACTATCATTTCGGTCCAAATACACAAAGCAATTTTGTACTTATCAATGTCAATTATATAATCTGAAGCCCTGAGTCAAATACCGTTTCCATTACCACATGCTGTCTGCCAGGCACAGTTAAAAAACAATTTACCGTTACATGCAAGTTCTGTCTCTCCCATTTACTCATTGGTTTTCACGAGCATACTAACCCATGTGGGTGATTAAAAGATGAACGAGCAGAGATGAATCAAAGAAAACTAACTAGGTTTCCCCTTGATTTACATTTACATTTTACAGACGCTCTTATCCAGAGCGACTTACAGTTATCTGTGGACTAATTGTCGGAGTAGAGAACACACGATTTTGTATGACTCAAAATGGGTTAAATTCTACAAAGATCCACCAAAAAAGGACCATATGCATTTCAGGTAAAATAATCCAACAGCAAGCTAAATGTCCATGAATGCTTCATGTGTTTCGACCTGTCCCCAAATTAATATAGTTGGTTCACAGTTGGTTTGATATATTAACCTTCGTGTCATGAATACATCTGGTGGGGATAGACAAAATCAACGGGGCCGGTTTGGTCAAGGTGTTAGGCTATTGGCCATGAAAGCATTCTTTACCCTGACAGCTGCTGAGGCGTTACAGCCGTATAGCAGACCACCTCCAGGCTGTTTTTTAAACAGTAATAACACTGCAATGCTGCTTGGATATAAAGGCCTTTAGACTATGACCTTTAGACCATGACCTTTAGACCATGACCTTTAGACTATGTTAGAGCTCAGGCCCTGTGATTTATAACTCTGATTCATGCTGTCGTATGGTTGTATGCACTCACTAACTGTAAGTGGCTCTGGATAAGAGCGTCTGCTAAATTACTAAAATGTCAATGTAAATGTGTTGAAAAGCCGATTGGGGGGGGGGGGTGAAAAAGGGGGGGGGGCTTGTGGAGTAATACAGAGAGAGCATAAATGGCTTCCTCTATGCACAGCTGAACACAGACACGTAATGGTGTGTGTGGCATTCTGAGCACAGTTCTTTTCACATCAAGGTAACATCAAAGCTAACAACACTAGACAACAATCACTGCAGTCCTGAAAACAATTTATGCTAGCACACCAGTGTCTGAACCACTACTAAATGAAGGACATGGAGAGTAAAGATGGAGCCATAGCTACCTGGTTTTAAATGAAGGACATGGAGAGTAAAGATGGCGCCATAGCTACCTGGTTTTGTCCCATGCCATGACAGGGGTAGAGGATGATCCGGTGGCCCATCAGATTATGGTCGTCAGGAGGGTTGTAGTCAAAGCAGTAATTGGACATGCCTCTGTTCTTCAGCTAGAGGGAAACAACATGTAGATGCTGCTGTTAAAGTACAGCTATGAGTGTGGGGAGTCAAGGGAAAGTTCAGTCAAATTGCCTATGATAACTGACATTTGAGTGCACTATCCCTTTAATAAACACAGATTAATTAATGAGGTGCAAATGTGAGGTCGCCTGGGTTGAAAACGATAACAAGTGTTTCTTATTGGACAAGTTCAGGTAGTTTCAGTCCATTTTCTTCAGTTTGTTGCCTAATTAATACAACCTTGGGAGTCAAAATGGCAGCATTCTCCTCACCATTCCAAACATCCCAGGCCTGTCCTCAGGGACATGGATATCAGGATAGATGTTCTCCAGGTACCACTTGAAGTCCTTACATCCCAGCTGGCTCCTGAGCCTCCTCCTGTCTGTCACGTCCCCAAAGGCCTCCTGACAACCACAACAAAACAAGAGCCTTTAAAATGATAAAATGATATTTATTTTGAGCCCATGCAGTCATGAGCTCAGAAATACATGTTCAACTGACTTCCTGTCTGTTTGAGTGTCTGGGTATTATTCTGTGAACTGACAGACAACAGCACCATCTATGGTTATTCCAAAGTTTCCCCTAAACCCACCACATACACTGACACTACAAAAACAGAATTTCGCATCACACTCCTCTTCTGTTGCACACAATCTCAACTCAAACGTAAGCACTCCTCCCACACACATAAACCCTTCCCACTGGCGGTCCACCACTGCATCCTGGTCACTGTTAGCACAAAGACACTCCAATCCACAGTCCACAGCCTAGGGTTGCAAAATTCCGGTAACTTTCCCCAAAGTCCCAAGGTTTTTCATTAATCAAATGTTATTTGTGACACGCTTCATAAACCACAGGTGTAGAGTAACAGTGAAATGCTTACGGGTCCTTCCCAACAATGCAAAGAGAAAGAAAATGGACAATTAATAGAAAAGTAAATCAAGTTGTAATAAATACACAATGACCAACGATAACTTGGCTTTATACACAGGGTACCAGTACTGAGTCCATGTGCAGAGGTATACATGTACATAGAACTAAGGATAAAGTGACAGACAATAAAACAGTAGCAGCACTGTATGCAAGGAGTCTAAAAAGTTAATTTGCACTAACAGGTGTGCCTTCTTAAAAGTGAATTTGTGGAATTTCTTTCCTTCTTAATGCGTTTGAGCAAATAAATTGTGTTGTGACAAGGTGGGGGGTGGTATACAGAAGATAGCCCTATTTGGTAAAAGACCAAGAGGCTATTGGCGATCGACCAGCAGGGTGCATTGCACAACTGGCCATGTTCGCTCACCTGGAGGAGGAACGTAGGATCGCCATAATGACTTACAAAAGCTGGACAAGGACACCAAAAGAGTTGAAGAGATCCTGAGGACAGGCGGATTCTTCCTCAAACCCTGGGTCCGGTCAGGCCAAAGTGGGAGGCAGGAGATCGTACCAGGAGAACAAGGAGCGGAGTCAAGCACAGTACTTATTCTCCCAAACCAGATGAGGAAAGGAGACACTAAAGCCCTTGGAGTTGGATACCTTGTTGAAGAGGATAAACTGTACCTTATGACTTCAATCAATTTCTCAAAGAGGAAAAAGAAGATGAGAGTCGGACAAAATCTCCTTGAAGAAGAGGTGAGAGGGAAAACTCCAAACCCACTGACGAGAAGAGAACTGCTAAGCCAAGTAGCTAGCCTGTATGACCCAATAGGCCTCGTCACACCTGCCAAACAAAAGGGCGCCATTCTTATCAGAAAGGCGTTTCAAGAAGGTGGAGGCAAAACTCTGACCCGAAACACGTGGGACAAACCTCTGTCTGAACAATTGACTGTTTGAGGAGTACACACGTCTTGGCCAAATCACCTTCCACAGAAGCCTCACACCAGTCAACTGGACTGGTAAACCTTGGGGAATAACATTCTCTGACGGAAGTGAGAAGAGCTATGGAGCCGTAGTGTACTTCAGATGGGAAACCGAGCAAGGCATCCAAGTCAGGTTGGTTGAATCCAAAGCAAAACTCACACCTTTGGACCAAAAGGGGGAAGCAGTGAAAGCTGAAATCTGCGGTGCTGTCTGCGCAGCACGACTTCGAAAGTACGTTGAAAAACACAGTCGTATAGAAATTGAACGATGGCTCCATCTGCTGGACAGTCAAACTGTGGTGGGAGCTATCCAGAGAGACAGTTATGGGTATCAATCTTTCTTCGCGAACAGAGTTGGAGAGATCCAGAAATCCACATCCGTCGAAGACTGGTGGTGGATCCCGGGAGGCCTGAACAGTGCTGACATCATAACAAGAGCGGCAGCCCCGGAAGATTCCATGTGGCAGAATGGACCAGCGTTCCTGCAGCAACCTGTGGAAGAGTGGCCACAGAAGTCAGCCAAAGAAATTGCAGCTTATGCCAAGGAAGGCATAAACAAACTTCAAAGGAAATATTTATCTGCAGCACTGACCAGAGCGCAGGCCAAGAGAAACAAGAATGATGTACTTCCTGAAGTGGGAGTTCAGAAGGAAAGTCAGAGTGATGCACAGCAAAGCAGAGAATGTCTAGCAGAAAGGCTAGGGCCAGAAAGTGCCAACAGATCATGAGTGACCTTCCACCCGAGCGTATAACACCAGCCAGACCATTTGAGTACACAGCAGTGGACTTATTTGGACCATATGAAGTCAAGGACGAGGTGAGAAAGAAAGTCAAGCTCAAGGTGTGGGGAATTGTCTTCTGTTGTATGGCATCCAGAGCTATACACACAGATGTTGTCAGTGACCAGTCAACTGAAGGCTTCTTACTGGCCTACCAAAGATTCACGGCACTGAGAGGGCATCCAAAGTAACTGGGGTCAGATCCTGGAAAGAACTTTGTGGGTGCTAGACCTGCCCTCAAAGAGCTCTACCACTTCCTGGATCAACAAATTACATCTGAGCTTGAAAATGAAGCTTCAAAGCATGGAACAGAGTGGAGCTGGAAGATCCACCCAGCAGACTCCCCTCACAGGAATGGTGCTGCAGAAGCAGCTGTTCGCACTGGGAAATGGGCCTTGCACAATATGAGAGGAGAAGGACTCTTCACATGGAGTGAGTTTCAAACATTTATGTTCATGGCTGCTAACCTTGCCAATGAAAGGCCCATAGATGCCAGTTAGGTGTTTATTTGTGTTTAGAATTGAGACCAATTGTCTAATTTAGTATATATAGTATAATTTAGATAATATGACTACATTGAGATTATATATTTAATTTGAAATGACCTTACTTGAAGTAATGTATATTTCTTTTTGTGTTTTGCCTTTAAAGGTTATCAACCTAACTAACTGACTAGCTAACTAACGAACTGGAATTAAATAAAAGAAGTCAGAAGAAAATTGAGTTGTCCCTTGCGTCCTTCAGTCCTTAAAGAGGCCTTTTTCCAAGTTTGGGCAAAGAGCTGCAGTGTGAACCATACACAACTTGACATGCATATTATGTCAAGAACAGCTCAAATAAGCAAAGAGAAATGACAGTCCATCATTACTTTAAGACATGAAGGTCAGTCAATACAGAACATTTAAAGAACTTTGAAAGTTTCTTCAAGTGCAGTGGCAAAAACCATCAAGCGCTATGATGAAACTGGCTCTCATCAGGACCGCCACAGGACTGGAAGACACAGAGTTACCTCTGCTGCAGAGGATAAGTTATTTTGTGTTACCAACCTCAGAAATTGCAGCCCAAATAAATGCTTCACAGAGTTCAAGTCAGACACATCTGAACATCAACTGTTAAGAGGGGACTGTGTGAATCAGGCCTTCATGGTCAAATTGCTGCAAAGAAACCACTACTAAAGGACACCAATAAGAAGAGGAGACCCATCTGGTTTGGGCTTAGTGGGACTATCATTTGTTTTTCAACAGGACAATGACCCAACACACCTCCAGGCTGTGTAAGGGCTATTTTACCAAGAAGGAGAGTGATGGAGTGCTGCATCAGATGACCTGGCCTCCACAATCCCCCGACCTCAACCCAATTGAGATGGTTTGGGATGAGTCGGACGGCAGAGTGAAGGAAAAGCAGCCAACAAGTGCTGAGCATATGTGGGGACTCCTTCAAGACTATTGGAAAAGCATTTCAGGTGAAGCTGGTTGAGAGAATGCCAAGAGAGTGCAAAGCTGTCATCAAGGCAAAGGGTGGCTATTTGAAGAATCTCAAATATAAAATAAATATATTTTGATTTGTTTAACACTTTTTTGGTTACTACATGATTCTACAATGTAGAAAATAGTAAAAACAAAGAAAAACCTTTGAGTACAGTGGGGGAAAAAAGTATTTAGTCAGCCACCAATTGTGCATGTTCTCCCACTTAAAAAGATGAGAGAGGCCTGTAATTTTCATCATAGGTACACGTCAACTATGACAGACAAATTGAGGGAAAAAAATCCTGAAAATCACATTGTAGGATTTTTTATGAATTTATTTGCAAATTATGGTGGAAAATAAGTATTTGGTCACCTACAAACAAGCAAGATTTCTGGCTCTCACAGACCTGTAACTTCTTCTTTAAGAGGCTCCTCTGTCCTCCACTCGTTACCTGTATTAATGGCACCTGTTTGAACTTGTTATCAGTATAAAAGACACCTGTCCACAACCTCAAACAGTCACACTCCAAACTCCACTATGGCCAAGACCAAAGAGCTGTCAAAGGACACCAGAAACAAAATTGTAGACCTGTACCAGGCTGGGAAGACTGAATCTGCAATAGGTAAGCAGCTTGGTTTGAAGAAATCAACTGTGGGAGCAATTATTAGGAAATGGAAGACATACAAGACCAATGATAATCTCCCTCGATCTCACCCCGTGGGGTCAAAATGATCACAAGAACGGTGAGCAAAAATCCCAGAACCACACGGGGGGACCTAGTGAATGACCTGCAGAGAGCTGGGACCAAAGTAACAAAGCCTACCATCAGTAACACACTACGCCGCCAGGGACTCAAATCCTGCAGTGCCAGACGTGTCCCCCTGCTTAAGCCAGTACATGTCCAGGCCCGTCTGAAGTTTGCTAGAGTGCATTTGGATGATCCAGAAGAGGATTGGGAGAATGTCATATGGTCAGATGAAACCAAAATATAACTTTTTGGTAAAAACTCAACTCGTCGTGTTTGGAGGACAAAGAATGCTGAGTTGCATCCAAAGAACACCATACCTACTGTGAAGCATGGGGTGGAAACATCATGCTTTGGGGCTCTTTTTCTGCAAAGGGACCAGGACGACTGATCCGTGTAAAGGAAAGAATGAATGGGGCCATGTATCGTGAGATTTTGAGTGAAAACCTCCTTCCATCAGCAAGGGCATTGAAGATGAAACGTGGCTGGGTCTTTCAGCATGACAATGATCCCAAACACACCGCCCGGGCAACGAAGGAGTGGCTTCGTAAGAAGCATTTCAAGGTCCTGGAGTGGCCTAGCCATTCTCCAGATCTCAACCCCATAGAAAATCTTTGGAGGGAGTTGAAAGTCCGTGTTGCCCAGCGACAGCCCCAAAACATCACTGCTCTAGAGGAGATATGCATGGAGGAATGGGCCAAAATACCAGCAATAGTGTGTGAAAACCTTGTGAAGACTTACAGAAAACGTTTGACCTGTGTCATTGCCAACAAAGGGTATATAACAAAGTATTGAGAAACTTTTGTTATTGACCAAATACTTATTTTCCACCATAATTTGCAAATAAATTCATTAAAAATCCTACAATGTGATTTTCTGGATTTTTTTTCCCTCATTTTGTCTGTCATAGTTGACGTGTACCTATGATGAAAATTACAGGCCTCTCTCATCTTTTTAAGTGGGAGAACTTGCACAATTGGTGGCTGACTAAATACTTTTTCCCCACTGTAGGTGTGTCCAAACTTTTGACTGGTACTGTATATAAACATTTTGTTTTTTATTCAATGGTTCACGGTGCACTTTTTGCATAGACAATTATGCAACCACTTTTGTTCTTCAGCTATGTTGATGCAATGTTGCACATGTTTACATTCGAAAGAAGTTGTAATTCATTCAAATTGTTTGTCTCATTTAATGTACATTTTATTTCCTAAGTCGTAGAAGAGTATGTTTGTTACTACGCCGATAACGGACGATATCCATCCGGACCTTTGCCACCTAGGAAATTTGTGTCACTGGACCTTCTTAAAAAGTAGTTGAGTACCCCTGGTCTACAGCTTATCCTGAGGTATTCTAACTCAGGCAAGCAGAACCTCGAGACTTCCTTAATATTACAGATCAGGAGGGAATAAGCAGGGGGGGGGGGGGGGGGGGGGGGGGGGGTCGTGGAAGAGAAAGAAAGAGATAGTTGGGTCAGAAACCGACAGATGGAGAGATAGTGAGTGAGAGCGAATGGGTGTTTGTGGAGAGATGAGTGCCATCTGATTCGTTTAGAGAGCCTCTCCCTTTAACTACATACACTGGCAGCCTGGTACCCTGGCAGACTTGGGTTAAAATATTATTTGAAATCTTTCAAATACTTTTTGCATTTGCTTTAGCCTGCCCGGAGTGCCAGATGGGCAGAGTTTGCACATTTTCCAACCATTCCATTGGTTCCATTGTATCAGGCATGCTCAATTAAGCCCAGCTGAAGTATTTGAAATGATTTCAACTAGTATTTGAACCCAGGCCTGCTGGCAGCCTGGCACCTGGGTTGGCGCGGAACGGAGCATGCCGTTGCTGGCCTACCAGGCGTGTGTGGGGGTTCGCTAGTCCCTGGTCAATGCTGGCCTACCAGGCGTGTGTGGGGGTTCGCTAGTCCCTGTTCAGTGCTGGCCTACCAGGCGTGTGTGGGGGTTCGCTAGTCCCTGTTCAGTGCTGGCCTACCAGGCGTGTGTGGGGGTTCGCTAGTCCCTGTTCAGTGCTGGCCTACCAGGCGTGTGTGGGGGTTCGCTAGTCCCTGTTCAGTGCTGGCCTACCAGGCGTGTGTGGGGGTTCGCTAGTCCCTGTTCAGTGCTGGCCTACCAGGCGTGTGTGGGGGTTCGCTAGTCCCTGTTCAGTGCTGGCCTACCAGGCGTGTGTGGGGGTTCGCTAGTCCCTGTTCAGTGCTGGCCTACCAGGCGTGTGTGGGGGTTCGCTAGTCCCTGTTCAGTGCTGGCCTACCAGGCGTGCGTGGGGGTTACGGTGGTAGTACAACTCCTTGTACTCGTCCATCCAGACCTCGGCAGCACGCACGCTGTTGGCCAGGGCCTTACTCCGCGAATAGGGGGCCTTCTTGGGGAAGACGTGGCCCACGTGGGAGCAGGGGTGGACCTCCAGGCTTCCCCCGCACTGCCAGATCTAAATAACAACAACAGCAACACGAGGACATGATTAGCTACACACCATGATTCAATCACGAAGCACAATGCAGCAGCTTTGTGTGTCTTTATAAAAAGGGGAGGTAGTTCTGTTGTTGTATGGCGGTTTTGTTTTCTTTCCCACAGGAAGTAACTGAAGGAAACATGAGATCTGTGCTGGTTTAGATTCTTCAAACTTTGCAACTTTATTGACTGCGGAACCTTTATTGACGGTGGTAACTTTTGGTTTCGAGTTCTTTCATGTGATTTTGATTAGGGAATAGAAAGGCCGATTTTGTTTATCTAAAACAGCACAGTGGTGACCTAGTTTTTCCCATATTTGGGGATTTATATCATGAAAGTGTAAACATTGCAGCCTTGTGTGAATCACCACATATTTCACAACAGTATGATGACCATCGGTTACTGGATTCCAGTGGGTTTTTAACTTATCACAGCAACATCAGGAAAAAAGCATGGATAAACAGCCCAGAGTTCAGCAAGCCCACATGTATCACTCTCACTCACACACACACACACACACACACACACACACACAAACACACTCACATTCTCTTTCTCACCTACACTCACCCTAAATGAGAACTCTAGGTTCTCTCCTCCCCACACCTCCATGCCTGTGTCATACGTGCCCAGGTAATGGAAATAGTTCTTACTGACAGCAAAAAGCCCACCAGCCATAGTAGGAGACCTGGGACCAAAACAGACACAGCTTACAGAGCAGATCTTGAAAACTTTTTCCATAATTATCAGAAATCATACAGCCTATGGTATGTATAACAATTGTTCATCTCTACATAATATGCATATCAAATTGTTAAAAGTACATCTTGAAAGTTAACTGAGGATTAGACTATTTTCCTCTCCGATACACTGAGGTTGTTAGGATACCACAGACCTGATGACATCGATGGCAGAGCGCCTGTTTCTAATATAGGGTACCACAGACCTGATGACATCAATGGCAGAGCGCCTGTTTCTAATATAGGATACCACCGACCTGATGACATCAATGGCAGAGCGCCTCTTTCTAATGTAGGATACCACAGACCTGATGACATCGATGGCAGAGCGCCTGTTTCTAATATAGGGTACCACAGACCTGATGACATCGATGGCAGAGCGCCTGTTTCTAATATAGGGTACCACAGACCTGATGACATCGATGGCAGAGCGCCTGTTTCTAATATAGGGTACCACAGACCTGATGACATCGATGGCAGAGCGCCTGTTTCTAATAAAGGGTACCACAGACCTGATGACATCGATGGCAGAGCGCCTGTTTCTAATGTAGGGTACCACAGACCTGATGACATCGATGGCAGAGCGCCTGCGTTTCTGCTCGTACTCTGGCACCGAGTGCCAGGTGAAGACCAGCCGCCAATCAAACCCTCCGATCTGGGGTTCCCCGGGGTTGCCTAGATACTGGAAGGTGTTCCAGTCGATGACATCAATGACGGGACACACCACAGCTGACGGCTCCTCCTTAATCCTGGGGCAGAGGGGTGATGAGAGGTGAGGAGGGAGAGAAAGGTCTCACAACAGGCCCCATTTGGAACAGGCCTTTGGAGGCTTGGGATTAGTGTGAAAGGGGATGGGTGGGGGAAATAGTTCACATAGCTACACATATCCAAATCTAGCTACAGCAGCATGATACATTCAACTGCAGAGTATAAGGAATGGAGGGAGGTACCACTTTACATGTGGAAACTAAGGTCCCACAACTAGACTGAAGAACAGTCCTCACCTGGCCCGCTACAGGATTTCTCACCTGTCGAGCAGGGGCTCCAGCCAGCCCTTGTGGCATTCACAGTGGCAGTCCAGGAAGGTCAGCACGTCGCCCGTGGCGATGGAGGCCCCCAGGAGCCTGGCCCGCACCAGGCCCTCCCTCTTCCTGGCCCGGATCAGATGCACCTTCTTCAAGCTGGAGATGTAGTTTTCTAACGGCTCCTTCAAATGAGCTGAGAGGGAACAAAAAGGGCTGTTGTTGACTCAGTTACACCAGCTCTGTCAGGAGGAATGGGCCAAAATTCACCCAACTTATTGTGGGAAGTTTGTGGAAGGCTACCCGAAACGTTTGACCCAAGTTAAACAAGTTAAAGGCAATGCTACTTAATACTAATTGAGTGTATGTAAACTTCTGACCCACTGGGAATGTGATGAAATAAATAAAAGCTGAAATAAGTAATTCTCTCTACTATTATTCTGACATTTCACATTCTTAAAATAAAGTGGTGATCCTAACTGACCTAAGACAGTGAATTTTTACTAGGATTAAATGTCAGGAATTGTGAAAAACTGAGTTTAAATGTATTTGGCTAAGGTGTATGTAAACTTCTGACTTCAACTGTATGTATGTATGTATATATATAGTAACCAAAGAAAGTGTCAAACAAATAAAAATATATTTTATATTTGAAATTCTACAAATAGCCACCCTTTGCCTTGATGACAGCTTTGCACACTCTTGGCATTCTCTCAACCAGCTTCACCTGGAATGCTTTTCAAACAGTCTTGAAGGAGTTCCCACATATGCTGAGCACTTGTTGGCTGCTTTTCCTTCACTCTGCCATCCAGTGTGCCTTGAATTCTAAATAAATCACAGACAAGCACCCCCCACACCATAACACCTCCTCCGCCATGCTTCACGGTGGGAACCACACATGCGGAGATCATCCGTTCACCCACACCGTGTCTCACAAATACACGGCGGTTGGAGCCAAAAATCTGAAATTTGGACTCATCAGACCAAAGGACAAATTTCCACCAGTCTAATGTCCATTGCTCGTGTTTCTTGGCCCAAGCAGGTCTCTTCTTCTTATTGGTGTCCTTTAGTAGTGTTTTTTTTGTTGTTGCAGCAATTCAACCATGGCCTGATTCACACAGTCCCCTCTGAACAGTTGATGTTGAGATGTGTCTGTGACTTGAACTCTATGAAGCATTTATTTGGGCTGCAATTGAGGCTGGTAACTATAATTAACGTATCCTCTGCAGCAGAGGTAACTCTGGGTCTTCCATTCCTGTGGTGGTCCTCATGAGAGCCAGTTTAATCATAGCGCTTGATGGTTTTTGCGACTGCACTTGAAGAAACTTTCAAAGTTCTTGAAATGTTCCGTATTGACTGTCCTTCATGTCTTAAAGTATTGATGGACTGTCATTTCTCTTTGCTTATTTGAGCTGTTCTTACCATAATATGGACTTGGTCTTTTACCAAATAGGGCTATCTTCTGTATACCCCCTCTACCTTGTCACAACACAACTGATTGGCTCAAAAGCATTAAGGAAAGAAATTCCACACATCTACTTTTAAGAAGGCACACCTGTTAATTGAAATGCATTACAGGTAGTCACCTGACTACCTCATGAAGCTGGTTGAGGGAATGCCAAGAGTGCGCAAAGCTGTCATCAAGGCAAAGGGTGGCTATTGTTTAACACTTTTTTGGCTACGACATGATTCCATGTGTGTTATTTCATAGTATTTCAAACTTTTGACTGGTAGTACATTATATATGATTGTACCTCTGTCACTATAGTCGTCCACCAGCACCACCTCTCGTAGCAGTATGTCGGGTGAGGTCTCCAGGACACTGTGGACAGTGCGTAGCAGCGTTGACCAGGCCTCATTGTAGAAGGCGATCACCACTGTGGTGGATGGCAATGACCTATAGTCATACTTCAGGTCCTTACAACTGGAGAAGTAGGGATAAAGAGTTCACTTGATATAAATCTGTAGCTAGCCTGATCCAAAGACCTAGATATCCCCTTTCCATCATGCTTCTCCTTGTCACTCACTGTCATTGGCATGACGAGGAGTGGAATTATAGCACAAACAGATCTGTCACACTGGCTAATAGATCTGGGCCATTTTTCAAAAAAGTGTCTAAGAGTAGGAAGAAAGAAAATCAGTTCTGTGTTTTTGGTCAATGTTGTTGGTTACCATTATGCTTGGACATCTGACTGAGATATGGCCGCAGGACTTTATTAACTCTTTGCACATGGCTCAACAGGCATCTAGTCATTTAATACATAATTCCTTGCGCTGTAGTAAACAAAAGAAACAGCTGTACGAGCTTTGTCAGTGACCTGACTTTATCCAACCTTACAAAATCAAGCACTGCCTTGCCTGTTATTTTGGCATTTAGAAATACTCAAAGGGGTTTGCCACAATGGGTTGATCGCGAGTATACAATAGGGCTAGGCTACTTCATATTCAGTCAGTCATATTTTAGAAAAGCTTTATCAAACACTCTTACGTCACAAGAGAATGTAGGGAAAATATCATAAACACCACACTCAAACTCACTGTCAACTTACAGAGGATTCCATTGTTCAGGTAGACTGCGGTGGAGAGATATCAGATCACTCACATAGGTATTAATCTGGTGTTTATTAATACTTTCCTCCTCTTGTTTCTTCTCCTCGCCGACGAGGTTCAATTTGACAGCTCTGCCCATTTCTCCCAAGGCATTTAAATCCAACGGCGGTTTGTCATAAACAGGCTTTTCAAGCATTTCATTCGCAACATCTTGCTCAATGGGAACCTCTCTTCGACCTGTTCCAGGTATGTCACCGGTATTATGCCTGTTAAAAATAAAATATCCCACTATAGAAGCCCCAAAAAAGCAAACTATCAACTTCCACCGATTCCTTTGCCGGCAAAGTGCCATCGTGTCTCCCTTCCTACCTCGCGAGATGTGTTCATACCCCGTGGGCTACAACAGTACCATGGTGCACAACCAAACCAGATCCACCAAAATCACCATGAACTGGCTTCTGATGATAACTTTGCGCAATGTAAAAGTCACCCTATTTTACTTGATTCAACTTTTTATTTCAAAATGCTAAGCTGGGTTGACCAAACAAGAGTCACATTTCTCAACTGTCTTTTTCTGTTATCCAGCGATTGGTTTACTTGGTCAAAGTTTATTGAAACATGTCTTTACCGGATTAGATTAGCTGTCTTGATGGATTATCACTAACACCCGGAGAAAAAAATCAAATCAAATCAAAGAGCCTTGTCCAGCGCTTCATTCTGTGCCAGTAGCACTAAATCCTAATCCATTTTGCGCAAACTACTTCTCTCTTCGCGACACTCGCCATAAACAACAATGTAGCCTACATTAACTATGTCACATTGTAGCTCTTTACCTGCAACCTACGCACACACTTCAACTGTTTCCGATTGCGTAAGCCGCACAAAATCATTCACGTCGATACATTTGAGAAGTTTTTCAGAAGTTTATCAGTCATTAATCTTTCTCCAGCGTCACGGGTTGTCGTACCAACAAACGACGCTCGTGCGAACAATGTATTTTGCGTTCCAGGCAACTTATTTTTTTTCGTTAAAGTTTAACAATTTTACAGCTGCTTCGTTTCGATTTCCTATACATAATTATGCAAATGCCATAAGCATTAAATTGACTACTTCCGGGTTGGCAACAAGTAGTAAAAAATGTACAATATCACGTGACTGTAGTTTACACTGATGCCAAAGAGACTACTGATATTCTTGTATGAACAGCACTTGTGTTATTGAATATATGATTTAACATTTGTTTAACATTTACGGGTGCAACAAAGGCATCTTCATTGTGGACAAATATTCTTACATTATTTCTCTTAGCACTATTGAATGTCCCTTAGCCCTATATATATATATTTTAAAAAAAGTCAAGTTTGAAGCAAACATCTTTAAGCAAATTAAAATGATCAATAATTGAGGCAACTGTTCAGAGTGGGAAGGTAATTTGAGTGCCATACTGTTTGATTGAATACTCTTATTGTCAAAACAACAAAGAGACAAGGCAACCAGAGGTGTTGTAATAGACCATGGTACACTGAGCTTGTCTGTCTTACTTTCACTGGAGAAAAAAATACATTAGCCTGCATGAGGAAGTTTTCATTAAAAAAATAAATAAGTCAACACTCATTTTGTAAGCCAACAGGTAAATGTATTATTTCTCTTCACCTATTAAAAATAAAACAATATGTAAAACCTAAATACTTTAAATGCAAATTAGATAGTCCATACACTCTTCTCAGACAGTAGTCTATGTAGGGGCGTTAGTGTCAAGAAGCCAACTAATATGGTACTACATCAACCTCAAGATAATTGGCTTTATTTCCATGGTGCTTATGATGCAATATCCCAAGGTGCTGTCCAGAGTAATGCACATGCTACAGCATTTCACAAGTGTAGTTTACATAATTTCTGCCAAGCAAAATGTATTTAGGCTTACACTTCACTGAGCCTGAAGATTATGCTACCATTTCACACAAAGCCATGGAGTAATTTGATTGGATAAGTAGTAAACACCTGAGGCTCTGGTCATGTCATGTACTAAATAATGTTGGAAATCCTGATTGTTTTATTGCTCATGGTAAGGTTTAAAAAGCAGTTGGGGGGTACTAAGCTGACATATGGAATTGTTTTAAGATGGTCATACCATGGATCATTTAGCCATTTGATTTGGAATTTTAGGACCCCTTTAGGTATAAAAAAAATTACATATACTTTTTTTGGGGGGTTAAATGATTGAATTTGGTATTTACTACTATAGCCCATAGAAACGCATTGAATAACACATTCATAAATGGCAAAAAAAAAATGACTGTCCAAAAGATCATCATAAGGAATGAGGTTTTGAAGTGTCTGTCCTATATCTACGACATATAAGAAAGCTCAGGAACTATTTTCGTTTTTTTTGGACACATATTTAAAGACTTATTTTTGTTGGCACAAAACTACCTCCATTCGTTTGTATGGGTTACCTTCAGAGGAGTCCAGTGACACTTCTGGGGGTCATAGAGCAAAATAGAGAACAGCATCATGTTCGTAAGATTCTCCCCTTTCCATAGTGGTCATAATAGCCAAACCGTTCGGACGCTACAGACGTTTTCGTGAGGAGATCGATTTTCGGGACATCTCGTAGTCTGACAAACACCGCTGTAGCTCAGCTACCTTTCACCGCAGATGCGGAAGGCCGACATAGGCGAATTGAGATACAGCCCATGCAAAAAACACATCTCTAGCACGGGTGCGTCAATAGACTCAAGGATTAAAAGGGCACCAATATTTACTGAACCTCAAAGGGCATCAATTCCCCCATTTGACATTGAGTGGTTCCTTCCATTGCTACTAGATGGTGCTAAAACAGTACATTTGGAAATACTTATAGTGAAGAAAACAGTGAAGTAAAGCATTTCTTACTTGCTTGTCAAACTTCACTGGAGTCTTGTGTCAGCGCTAAGAGAAACAAAACCAACTCCTTTGGATTCTTGTTTTAATGGTCATTGTTCAGTGAGTTAAAAGGCATTGATCTACAGCAATCCTCCAAAACACCAACTTGATTTTAACCCTTTAATTCTTCACTGGTACAAACAATAGTCACCACCACCTCGTGCTTATTAATCAGTACAGTAGTTCAAATACGCCACCTCCCATTCAGGTCCCTTTATACCAAGAAGTATCATATGAAGCTGGAGTCATTTTGAATGATCAACCAATCATTACAAATATTTGACATAAAAAAATGCCCTAGTGCAAAGGACCACAAAAATACTATTAGGAAAAACGGTGTGCTGCGGTAGAGCTGATTTCAATAATAAGCACTTCAATTGCAACAAACATGGAATCATTGTTATTAAGGCCTATTGGTCCTCGAATCCCAATCAAGGGAACCAGATACTTTAGGAAAAGTTTAGGTTTAGGAGAGAGTAAGAGCAGAGTGCAGGTGTTGATGTAAGTCTGTCAAAACATAACGACAAGGGAATCTGTTGTGTGGCAGGTTTAAGAGAATCAAGCCCTTGAGAGATCAACAATTGATGAATGATATAGTATGAATGCTACAGTAAGCAATGCCGTGACATGCTTTTGTTAGCCTCACCATTGCAGCTATCTATGGAAGAGAGCAGACAACATTGATGCAGACCAAGACCCATATGAGAATATCGGCACTATGAAAGTGAAATTAACATGTTTATGCTTTTATGTTAGGCACAGTAGATTTTTTTTTTTTTTTTAAATATTAAAATAAGTGTAAAACAACCCTGACAAAAAAATAAAAAAACTTCCGTTTTTGGAGGCACATTGTAGACCCAGTAAATCGGCCTGTTTAAAGAATGTTTTTGAATCCACAGCACAGTGAAGACTCCCAGACAACAATGTCAGACATCCCACCACCCTCAGGCAATGGAAAATTGCACTTAGCACAAGCTTAAGTGTTTCAAGTCTTGTTCGAATAGCCCAATTTCATCCTACTTTGAACAGTCTCCAAACAGAGAGACAGACACTGGTGAGTAGAACACATATAGCCTACTAGCGTGACAGGGTCCTCGTAACTCCAGATCACTTACACAACAAGATGGGGCTTGTATAATAAGTCTCATATGATACAAAGCTCTGGGACTTTTTCAGCTATCTCAAAGGGTTACATTTGAGTAACAAACCCCAGATTAACCACACATAGAAAAGAGTAATAATTTAGACCCCTAAACGAATCGTTTTAATTTAGTAAACTTTTTTCTTTTTTTTGACAACATTCAGTTATTTGTTGTGGTCTACCTGTAAAAAAAACAACACCAAAATATTCTATACAAAAACATTCTGTAGTGCAACAGTATTTGTTCGAATCTATGCTGATCCCACTGAATTCAATAACAAAACTCCCATGATGCCTGCTATTGGACCTAGTGAATGACCTGCAGAGAGCTGGGACCAAAGTAACAAAGCCTACCATCAGTAACACACTACGCCGCCAGGGACTCAAATCCTGCAGTGCCAGACGTTTAATTTAGTAAACTTTTTTCTTTTTTTTGACAACATTCAGTTATTTGTTGTGGTCTACCTGTAAAAAAAACAACACCAAAATATTCTATACAAAAACATTCTGTAGTGCAACAGTATTTGTTCGAATCTATGCTGATCCCACTGAATTCAATAACAAAACTCCCATGATGCCTGCTATTGATCCTCTTTGAAACCAGTATTTTAGAACTGATACCACTGGACAATCCTGGACCGTTCGTTCAAGCTTTCTTATTGTTTTTCAACAAAACTAGGGCATTCTGACAGACAGGCATAAATACTGTCACCTCAGGTGTGGACCCCATTTGGTTTGCAAAGGCACTTTAAATGAGGAAGTCTTGTGAAGTCTTCCCACAGGGAACAAGTAGGTAGTCTGTTGAGCGGCTTTGCTGGGTCCCTCTTAAAAAAATCCTGTCTCTCAATCATCCACTGTGGAACTGTAATTGCACTTAGTTCAAAGGTCAATTAGGGTTAGGGTGAGGCTAGTTTCTCCCATCCTCAAACTTCCAGCGCTGGTGCTTGTCCCCAGGAGTGCACGTCCTCATCTGGATGTCCGTGCGCCCCTCGGCTGTGCGATAGGAAGTGACACACATGTCTGAGTGAGGGTGGTAGATCGTCCCGTCCTGAAGTGACAATAAAGAGACATCCAGGTAAGGCACTATAGCAACAGTTGAATATAGTCAATTTCTAACTGACAACTAAATGTAGTATGAAGACCACTTGTCGTGCGTTTACAAATTCGATCAGCCCAGTTGTGCATACTATGACAATTCTTTGTGTTTTTCTGTGAGTGCGTGCACGTGTGTGTACGAGTATTCCTCTGCTTACAGTGGGGAAAAAAGTATTTAGTCAGCCACCAATTGTGCAAGTTCTCCCACTTAAAAAGATGAGAGAGGCCTGTAATTTTCATCATAGGTACACGTCAACTATGACAGACAACTAATCCAGAAAAACACATTGTAGGATTTTTAATGAATTTATTTGCAAATTATGGTGGAAAATAAGTATTTGGTCACCTACAAACAAGCAAGATTTCTGGCTCTCACAGACCTGTAACTTCTTCTTTAAGAGGCTCCTCTGTCCTCCACTCGTTACCTGTATTAATGGCACCTGTTTGAACTTGTTATCAGTATAAAAGACACCTGTCCACAACCTCAAACAGTCACACTCCAAACTCCACTATGGCCAAGACCAAAGAGCTGTCAAAGGACACCAGAAACAAAATTGTAGACCTGCACCAGGCTGGGAAGACTGTATCTGCAATAGGTAAGCAGCTTGGTTTGAAGAAATCAACTGTGGGAGCAATTATTAGGAAATGGAAGACATACAAGACCACTGATAATCTCCCTCGATCTGGGGCTCCACGCAAGATCTCACCCCGTGGGGTCAAAATGATCACAAGAACGGTGAGCAAAAATCCCAGAACTACATGGGGGGACCTAGTGAATGACCTGCAGAGAGCTGGGACCAAAGTAACAAAGCCTACCATCAGTAACACACTACGCCGCCAGGGACTCAAATCCTGCAGTGCCAGACGTGTCCCCCTGGTTAAGACAGTACATGTCCAGGCCCGTCTGAAGTTTGCTAGAGTGCATTTGGATGATCCAGAAGAGGATTGGGAGAATGTCATATGGTCAGATGAAACCAAAATAGAACTTTTTGGTAAAAACTCAACTCGTCGTGTTTGGAGGACAAAGAATGCCGAGTTGCATCCAAAGAACACCATACCTACTGTGAAGCATGGGGGTGGAAACATCATGCTTTGGGGCTGTTTTTCTGCAAAGGGACCAGGACGACTGATCCGTGTAAAGGAAAGAATGAATGGGGCCATGTATCGTGAGATTTTGAGTGAAAACCTCCTTCCATCAGCAAGGGCATTGAAGATGAAACGTGGCTGGGTCTTTCAGCATGACAATGATCCCAAACACACCGCCCGGGCAACGAAGGAGTGGCTTCGTAAGAAGCATTTCAAGGTCCTGGAGTGGCCTAGCCAGTCTCCAGATCTCAACCCCATAGAAAATCTTTGGAGGGAGTTGAAAGTCCGTGTTGCCCAGCGACAGCCCCAAAACATCACTGCTCTAGAGGAGATCTGCATGGAGGAATGGGCCAAAATACCAGCAACAGTGTGTGAAAACCTTGTGAAGACTTACAGAAAACGTTTGACCTGTGTCATTGCCAACAAAGGGTATATAACAAAGTATTGAGAAACTTTTGTTATTGACCAAATACTTATTTTCCACCATCATTTGCAAATAAATTCATTAAAAATCCTACAATGTGATTTTCTGGATTTTATTTTTTCATTTTGTCTGTCATAGTTGACGTGTACCTATGATGAAAATTACAGGCCTCTCTCATCTTTTTAAGTGGGAGAACTTGCACAATTGGTGGCTGACTAAATACTTTTTTCCCCACTGTACATGCATGTTTTTGCTTACATCTGCATCACTCACCTCTCTGAACTCCCAGATGATGGTGGGGGGTGTAGGGGTTCTGTCGTGGGGGCAGTGCTTCATCCCAATGTAAGTCTGTCCCTCGGGGACCTCGGCACACAGCTCCGTCACAGAGTTATAGCGGATCTCCTTATGGGTTGTGTACTCAAAGTACTAGAGGAAAGAGAGTGATGCATGGTTAAACTCTGCTTATCTGAATTATAGTAATCACTGTCCTCCTGGGGCATGGATGAATGTTTACTCTTGGCGCTTCTGTTTATCAAATCAGCAGCTCAGATCATTAGCATTCAACGGTTAAAAGAGATTTCACCATAAGAATCGCTTCCTTTTGAGAGAGAAATGGTTGGATCTCAGTCTAAAGTTCTCTCTCACTCACACACACACACACACACACCTTTCAGTAGCAGTGGACACCTGATGCGATGCATCAATGAGTAATCAGAGATATCGCCAGTGGAGATAGACTAGATAGGCAGAACCCGTTGTCTGACTGGACATAAAATATACATCCACACGGTCAGCAAGTCTTTTTGGTTATTAACTATCTAGAAACTAACTTAGCCATAAAAGTTATTTTTAAAAAAACTGTAGATTTAGGCCTAAAATATGCTTTAGGATACTTTGTACTAAACCAAAGTTGTAGATGTCTCAGCATCTCGCTTGACGCTGAATTCTAGATAGCTGAGGTGAGGTGGATATTCTCCAGTGGTCACCGGATATCGTTGACATTCAGAGTAACCACTCCGTCCGTCCCTCAGGGAGACGTGGGATCAGGGGGGTTGAGAGAGAGAGAGAGACAAACAGACAAGACGTGAAATTTTAATCACCTGGTTGCCGCCCTGCCCATGGCAACCGAAGAGGGAGATGTGCGCCCCCGTGGGACTGTGTTCCGGAGTGTTGTAGTCCAGGCACTCTGAATGGATCCCAGAGCTACGCACCTGTGATGAGGAGAATGATCCGGATTAGCATCATGAGATCAGATTAAAGGAGTCAAACAATTGTGCTTTTTACCATGCTCATTTCATATCTACAAGGAGGCCAAAGAGGTAGGACATAGGTGTTCATTTTGGTCCTGACATTTTATGCTGTTTTAATTTTTTGGAGTGCCCTGGTGCTTAAGATTTGGAATCAGCGCGAGAGAGCGAGAGAGACTCACCGCCCCGTGCCATCCCACCCTGTCCTCTGGTACATGCAGGTCAGGGTAGATGTTCTTCAGGTACCAGTCAAAGCTGTTACACTTCAGTCTCTCTCTGAGGACCACCCTCTCTGAGATGTCCCCATATGTCTCCTGTGGAAAAACATAACTTCATTTAACACGTGTATTTGAGTAGGGATAGATACACTTAAAACATTGACACCTTGAGTAAACAACATTGCACACTTTAGCGTGCGCCAATTTCCAGTGCTTCAAAAATTAGGCCCACACACAACTCTAAAGATAAACCAGAATAATAACCGGGGCGGCAGGTAGCCTAGCGGTTAAGAGCGTTGGGCTAGTAACCGAAGAGCAGACTGTGAAAAATCTGTCGATGTGCCCTTGAGCAAGGCACTTAACCCTAATTGCTCCCGTAAGTCGCTCTGTATAAGAGCGTCTGCTAAATGACAAAAATGTAAATGTAAATAGGCTCAATTTCACTGCAATGCAGCTCTGGTCAAATATGCCAATCCTAGGAGTGGTTTGATGTGATACACTAATACCACGATTGTACTGGGTGACAACATTAAGTAAACATGTAACTACATCCTGGTCCGTTAACTTGAAACTGTTTGAATCCTGGTTGGTGCATTGCTGTTGTGTCCTTAAGAAAAGTAATTGAAAATGATTTCCTGGATGACAGGTGTGAGCGTGATACCTGTTTAGTACTGACAGCAGTGTAGCTCCCCACCTTGAACAAACCAAAGGGATGGGAATTCAAAACACACGTTGGATTGTGTGACACTAAAGTTGGATTATGATGAACAACTGATGAACAACTGGGGTGTATTCATTAGGTCACACCGTAGTAAAACATTTTGCAACGGAAAAATGAAAACAACCGTTTCTTACTGAACAAAATTCAGGTAGGTTTTTTGTTTTCTGTTTCGTCCCGTTAGCTTCTGCTTGGTTCCTAGTGAAAACACACCTGGTTTGTTTCGACAAAAAAAAAAATACACGACTTTAAGTGGTTTACCAGAATAGACTGTGACCACATTTCCAACCAGGTACATCTGTATGCCTACATGTACATGACGCCCAAGTGAATTCAAACCTGCCAATCCCCTCTGGCACCCAGTCTCCAGCTCCCTTTGGGAGGGTACTTTATTGTTTGATTAAAGATCCCTGGTATTAATAATGTAATTTACTTCAGAAGTGAAACAAAGATGAACATGAGACTTTGGTATCAGGCAACACAAAGAAAGCCGAGCGGGATACACACACACCTCATCAACCACTGCTGAAACCTAGACAGGTGAAGCAACATCTCCATCCAAGTTACTCCATTACGATACAATATTAATCAAGTCTAGGGTGTTCCATCCTGGTAGAACTATTACAGCTCTAAAGGGCCAATCAGGAGTTGCTACATCCACTTTTTTGACTGTGAAATGAATGATATAGCAGGGTTCCCTAACTGGCAGTGGTTTTATTTGGCCCCCCCCAAGTTCTGAGCAAAAACTTTTAAGACATAAAAGACGTAAAAAACTGTAAAAACATCAGGAAATCATCTCCAAGTGATTTTAATTTAAGAAATCTGTTCCCAAGTATTCCCACGCCTAATAGAGAGACACATGATCGTATACAAATGCAAGAAAGGTTTGAAATTATTATGTTTTAGTCAAACATTATATCTGTTTGGGCTTCTTGTGGTCAATTTGCCAGCTACAAAAGTATTTTTTATTATGTTCCGGCCCCCCGACCGCTCAAGAAAAAATCATCCCGCGGTTGAATCTAGTTGATGATCCCTGATACAGTATATATATATATATATAGCCATCGATTCTTGAAGAATATAACTTACAAATGCTTCATGAGCTTAGTTCAACTGTCATACCCCAAAATATAAGCTTGTTTCACTCCCATGTTTGTAAATAAAGTCAATGTAAACAAACACTATATAGCTTCAAAACATGGTTAAAACTATAATTTTGATATCATGGATGGTCAGTCCAAAGCGCTGTCTATGAATTTAAGAGTGGTTATAGTTCTCAAGCCCCATCCATCAGCGGTTTACCAAAACAAGTGTGGGGGTGGCGCTTTGTTATTTTTGGAACTCCGGATTGGCCCTTTAACTAAAGCATGCCCTACTTCTTAACACCTGTTGGGATTATGCCCATTACAATAAGTTCCTTTATGGCTTTATTACATTACAATAAGTTCCTTTATGGCTTTATTACATTACAATAAGTTCCTTTATGGCTTTATTACATTACAATAAGTTCCTTTATGGCTTTATTACATTACAATAAGTTCCTTTATGGCTTTATTACATTACAATAAGTTCCTTTATGGCTTTATTACATTACAATAAGTTCCTTTATGGCTTTATTACATTACAATAAGTTCCTTTATGGCTTTATTACATTACAATAAGTTCCTTTATGGCTTTATTACATTACAATAAGTTCCTTTATGGCTTTATTACATTACAATAAGTTCCTTTATGGCTTTATTACATTACAATAAGTTCCTTTATGGCTTTATTACATTACAATAAGTTCCTTTATGGCTTTATTACATTACAATAAGTTCCTTTATGGCTTTATTACATTACAATAAGTTCCTTTATGGCTTTATTACATTACAATAAGTTCCTTTATGGCTTTATTACATTACAATAAGTTCCTTTATGGCTTTATTACATTACAATAAGTTACTGTATCACTTTACAATAAGTGACTTTATCGCGTTATCACTTACAATACGTTACTTTGTTATTATTATTATTGGTATTTCTACAGCCTGATCTACAATCACTGCATCCTCCACTACTAGCTACCTCATATTGACTGTAAGTCGCTTTGGATAAAAGCGTCTGCTAAATGGCATATTATTATTATTATTATTATTATTATATTATTATTATTATTATTATACTGGTGTTTGGGAGAGTTGGCTGTAAAGTAACTTTGTGGTATCCCCTACAACTCACTGAAGATACTGTACATCACACTGATCATATGACAATGGGGAGTAAGATAAAATAAGATACACCATTTTATTGTAAAGCGTACTACAGTACTGTACCTTTCTGGCAGGGGGGTTTCTGTTGTAGAAGTGCTGTTTGTAGGTGTCCATCCACACCTCGGCAGCACGGACCGTGTTCTGGAGGAACTTGGGCCTGGCGTAGGGGGCTTTCTTTGGGAAGACGTGGCCCACGTGGGAGCAGGGGTGGATCTCCAGAGAACCTCCACACTGCCACACCTGGGGAGCAGGCAGAAATACAGCCGATATGACGCGTTTTGCATCATATGATATTTCTGGCAATAATCCAGACATGTTTTCAGCACTTTTATTCCATGACTGATCAAAACTCATTTTCTCATGCTCTCTCCTGTCTCTCTGCAGCAGACATATAGTGAGCAATACGTTTGGAACATCAAATCGCAAACAAAAATCACAGTATCGAATTGTAATACATATCGCATCGGTCCCTGGCAATTCCCAGCCGTACTTCCTAATAATTAAACTAGTGCCTAAATGTCCTCCACCCTATGAAATAGGATCCAAACTAGGATGTAAGTGGTGTGATAATGCAGGCAGAAACCAAGATGGACATTGTTTGTGAATAATCAACACTGCCACTCTTCTCTCTCCTCTCCCAGCTACTATGCAAATTACAGAGAATCCTAAATACAGTTTGTTTGGGAACATTTTCACTTATCAAATTTGAATATATTTCCTGCAGGACATTTGATTTATGGTATCAATTGCATCTTATAATTGCTTGTTTTCCACTACAGCCAAGAAAACAGCTTGGGAAAGGAACAGGGTGCTACCTAGCTATTCGCTAATTACCTTTAGCGACATCCCTGAGTTACGCCTCAATTACACAACAAATTCTCTCATTGTAATGGGTACTTAGCTCGAACCCTATTCATTCTCATCAAAACATACTAAATCATTTCATTCTTACTTACTCCTTTGTGTTCCCAAAACATAGTTGTAAAACAATTCACAATACATAAATTATGGATGGAGAGTCCCAGAGAGAGGCATTGTATTTCCACATACATAAATCATCATATAGGGTGATACCCCATCCATCTTTAGTTTTACACACAGACGCAAAGTCAAAACACCCGCACGCACACACACTCGGATCAAAAACATGAAATCTGTGCCAATAATGATTGACATGAGCTGAAAGGGACACCAACAACAAGGTAACCTTCATTATCTAAATGGGGATGCAGTGTCCGACGCCATCCGTCCATCTCACAGTCAGCAGACGAGACACCGTGATATATCACTCCACCATCAGCGCCTGCTGAAAACTAGGGTGCCATTTGGGACGCAAGTGTAGACTCTTCTAGGCGACACTCATGAATCAACTGGGGATAGCAGTCTGCCTATATCCATAACAGCAGTCTGCCTATATCCATAACAGCAGTCTGCCTATATCCATAACGGCAGTCTGCCTATACCCATAACGGCAGTCTGCCTATACCCATAACGGCAGTCTGCCTATACCCATAACGGCAGTCTGCCTATACCCATAAAGGCAGTCTGCCTATACCCATAAAGGCAGTCTGCCTATATCAATTTTCTTCCAATTAAACTTATTAAAACCTTTTTGAGGCATAGAACATACACTATCAGTCAAAAGTTTGGACACACCTACTCATTCCAGGGGTTTTCTTTATTTTACTATTTTCTACATTGTAGAATAATAGTGAAGACATAAACTATGAAATAGCACATATGGAATCAAGTAGTAACCCAAAAAGTGTTAAACAAATAAAAAATATTTTATATTTGAGATTCTTCAAAGTAGCCACCCTTTGCCTTGATGACAGCTTTGCAAACTCTTGGCATTCTCTCAACCAGCTTCATGAGGTAGTCACCTGGAATGCTTTTCCAACAGTCTTGAAGGAGTTCCCACATATGATGAGCACTTGTTGGCTGTTTTTTCTTCACTCTGCGGTCCAACTCATCCCAAACCATCTCAATTGGGTTGAGGTCGGGTGATTGTGGAGTCCAGGTCATCTGATGCAGCACTCCATCACTCTCCTTCTTGGTCAAATAGCACTTACACAGCCTGGAGGTGTGTTGGGTCACTGTCCTGTTGAAAAACAAATTATAGTCCCACTAAGCACAAACCAGATGGGAGGACGTATCGCTGCAGAATGCTGTGGTAGCCATGCTGGTTAAGTGTGCCTTGAATTCTAAATAAATCACAGACAGTGTCACCAGCAAAGCACCCCCACACCATCACACCTCCTCCTCCATGCTTCATGGTGGGAACCACACATGCGGAGATCATCCGTTCAGCTTCTCTGCGTCTCACTAAGACACGGTGGTTGGAACCGAAAATCTCAAATTTGGACTCATCAGACCAAAGGACAGATTTCCACCAGTCTAATGTCCATTGCTCGTGTTTCTTGGCCCAAGCAAGTCTCTTCTTCTTATTGGTGTCCTTTAGTAGTGGTTTCTTTGCAGCAATTCGACCATGAAGGCCTGATTCATGCAGTCTCCTCTGAACAGTTAATGTTGAGATGTATCTGTTACTTGAACTCTAATGAACTTATCCTCTGCAGCAGAGGTAACTCTGGGTCTTCTTTTCCTGTGGCAGTCGTCATGAGAGCCAGTTTCATCATAGTGCTTGATGGTTTTTGCGACTGCACTTGAAGAAACTTTCAATGTTCTTGAAATGTTCCGTATTGACTGACCTTTATGTCTTAAAGTAAAGATGGACTGTCGTTTCTCTTTGCTTATTTGAGCTGTTCTTGCCATAATATGGAATTGGTATTTTACCAAATAGGGCTATCTTCTGTATACCACCCCTACCTTGTTATAACACAACTGATTGGCTCAAAAGCATTAAGAAGGAAAGCAATTCAACAAATTAAAAACTTTTAACAAGGCACACCTGTTAATTGAAATGCATTCCCGGTGACTACCTCATGAAGCTGGTTGAAGAGTGTGCAAAGCTGTCATCAAGGCAAAGGGTGGCTATTTGAAGAATCTCTTGTTCAAATATTTTTTATTGAACACACACAAGAATGGTGTATAGGTATGAAAGACATGTGTACAGTTCTTATCTAAACATAAGAGAACAGACATGAACAACAAGACCCAGAGTTCTGGACACAAAACAAATATTACAAAACACGACATACAGAACAGGGACAGGTAGAAAGAAAAAGGGTAGATGTAACCCCCCCACTTATACCCCCCTTTATCCCCCCCCCCAAGAAAAAGGGTAGATGTAATCCCCCCCCCCCTCCCTATCCCCCCCTATTCCACCCTATTCCCCTCCCGACTGCTCGAGTGTCGGGGCCAGCACACGCTGCCCAAAGGTAGATTACAATATGACAATTGAGAGTGCGTTAAAAGGTACAAATTCACAGCACCGACTGGTCCAGGTAAGAGAGGAAAGGCTGCCAGATTTGATCAAATGTTGATAATTTATTGTTCAGAATATATCTAATTCTTTCTAAGTGTGGATATACTGCAAGCTATCCTCCCAGTCTGCCACCGAGATATTAGTCCCTAGTTCTTCCTCCCATTTTGCCTTAATGGCATCAGTAGAGGGTGCGCTAACAGATTGAAAAGCGTCATATAGACGAGATATCAGTTTGTCTGAGGTGGGGCATATTTTTATGCATCCGTCAAACATGGAAGGTTTAGCATTCTCAAATGTTGGGAGGTGTTTTCTAACATAGTCTCTAATTTGTAGGTATCTGAAAAAGTTACTTCTGGGAAGGTTATAAGTTTCCCTCAGCGCTTCAAAGGAAGCAAAGGTCCCTCCTATATATAAATCCCCTATGGTACTTATCCCCAATTCTCCCCATCGCTCAAAGGTGTTATCAAGGTTAGAGGGGGCAAAGGAGGGATTCCTGGCAACAGGGAGCATGAATGATATTGGTCTAAGCTCAAAGTGGACTTTAATTTGCTTCCAGATTCGGACTGTGCTATGTATAATAGGATTGTTATGGTAAAGTGACATCTCCAGATTGACAGGTGACAAAATCACGGCACCAATAGAGAAGGGGTGACACTCCTCCCGCTACATGCGAAGCCAGCTGGATGGCGGGGTTGCGTCATCCAGCAAAAACGTAACAGCGCGGAGGTTAGCGGCCCAATAGTAAAATATAAAATTTGGGAGAGACAATCCTCCTTCCATCTTGGATTTACATAGGTGTTTTTTACCTATCCTGTGTGTTTTATAATCCCAGATGAAAGGATTGATAATAGAGTCCAGTTGTTTATGAAATGATTTAGGTATGAATACTGGGATGTTCTGGTATAGGTAGAGCAGTTGTGGGAGGAAGACCATTTTAATGGCATTAATTCTTCCGAGCAGAGAAATTGGGAGAGTTCTCCAAAACTGTATGTTTGCCTTGAGATTTTGCATCAGAGAAGGGAAATTCTCTTTAAATAGTAAGGAGTATTGTTTGGTAACTACAATTCCAAGGTAGATAAATTTTTCTGAAGATAACTTAACTGGAAGATGTTCTAGCCAGGAGGTGTTTTGCAACCGTATGGGCATTAATTCACTCTTGTTCCAATTTATTCTGTATCCCGAGAAGGTACCAAACAAATTAATCACCTCAAGAATAGCTGGAATACTAGCTTGGGGTTCTGTTACATAGAGGAGAATATCATCTGCGTATAAGGAAATCTTATTTAGAGTATCTTTAGTATTATAGCCGTGTATTGCTGAATGAGATCTGATCGCTTGAGCGAGAGGTTCAATAATTAGGGCGAAGAGCATAGGCGACAGCGCACAACCCTGCCTTGTCCCTCTGTGAAGGTTAAATCGGGGCGACATTGATTGGTTAGTGAGTATTCTCGCACAGGGGTTCCTATATAAAAGCTGGATCCAATTTATGAACCCATCTCCAATATTAAATTTCTGTAGGACCTTGAATAGATAGGGCCACTCAACTTGGTCAAAGGCCTTTTCGGCGTCAAGAGATATAACGGCAAGGTCCACGTTAGGTAACCTCTGAGAATACATAATGTTGAAGAGGCGCCTGAGATTGAAGAATGAGTTTCTATTAGGGATAAAGCCGGTCTGGTCCGAATGGACCAATTTGCCAATTAAAGTGCTAAGCCTGTTAGCCAGAGTTTTTGCTAAAATCTTTTGGTCTGTATTAAGGAGGGATATTGGTCTGTATGACCCTACCTCTTCCGGATCTTTACCCTTCTTATGTATAACTGTAATAAACGCCTCATCCAAAGTAGATGGGAGAGCTCCATCCTCATTGGCCCGAACCAACATTTTGTGCAGGTAGGGAGATAGCATGTTGCTGAATGTTTTATAGAATTCACCAGGGTATCCATCTGGGCCTGGGGTCTTGCCACTCTTTAGAGATTTAATTGTTTCTCTAATTTCTTCAAGAGATATTTCCTTATTCAGGAAGTTAGAGTCTTCCTGGTTCAGGGCAGGAAGATTACAGTCCTCCAAAAAGTTTTGCATAATTAAGGGGTGGGGATCCGCTTTAGATGTATATAGAGTCTCATAAAACTGACGGAATCTGTCATTGATGTCTTTGGGGGAGGAGAGTAATTCCCCAGATGCAGATTTAACTTTGTGAATCATTCGGTCACTCACGTTTTTTCGAAGTTGTCTGGCGAGTAATTTGTGTGGTTTGTCACCAAACTCAAAATATTTTTGCTTGGCATAGAGAAAAGATTTAGCAATTTTAGCCGAGAGGATCTGATTGTATTTAAATTTTAAAGACGTAATTTGTTTATGTTTCTCCATAGATGGATGTCTAGCATTCTCCCTATCCAGTAAGTGAATTTGTCCCTCCAGTTCTACCAATTTTTTTCTGTTTTGCCTACTCCTGGCAGTCTGA